TTCACAGGGATCAGCCATGGTTTATACGTCTATTGGTCCAATCTGAACCAATGTAACTATGCAATAAAATATCATACCTAAACTTAAGATTTAAAGGGATAGATACATATATAAATGTGTTATTACTATCTAAACTGTGTTTATATGTATTTCCTATAATTATATATGTTTATTTGCCTCTGAAAATGTTATGCAGCTCTATATTCATACTTTTTTTTTTTGATAGGGTGGAGAAAAGTTAAATCCTTTGTCAAGTTTATTTCTGCCTTTGTCCCTACTGGGGAGATTCATTCCTCTAGTTGTAGTGGTGACCATTATCACCTGAAACCAACATTTTTAGAGTTGCTTCCACAAAAAGAGGTGAGGGGAAAACTCCCAACAGGAGCATTTATTCCAGGGACCACTAAGCAGGAAATTCCCTGAACTTTGGGAGATTTTCTCCAACTTCCTGTTGTGTCTATGGCCCAGGAAGTGAAGGAAAATGGTCTCAGTTACACACAGACAGCAAAAAAAAAGCATCTTGGAGGAGGTTTAAAACCTCCCTTACTCTATCCAAAAAAACAAATTTTATAAACGCTTGAAATATATATATATGGCACTTAATGGCACAGACACAAACTATCTTCAGCAATACATATGAAGTGCTTACATGGGTTGAATAATAATCAACAAAATGAGTGCAACAAGGCAAAAAAAATTGTCATTAACCTTGGATAAATACAGTCCAAGGAGACCTTTTTAGGTCAAATACATCCACTAGGAGGCAGCTTGTAAATTAAAGCAGGAGATGACTCTGTGAAGTGAACCAAGAGAAAGGAAGAACAAGCGCCATCTAGGTGTAGTATTAAGAACAACGTTTAATGGTCATAAACAGATGCACTCACAAAGGAAGATGTAACTGAGCATATATTGCTGTGTATATGGCTGTCATCAATACCGGTCCCAGACCGCGAGATGGTGGATGGTGGAATCTGTGGACATGCTGGTGGGTTGTTCTGGATGCTCCCAGAGCTTCTGATCGGCATGGAACTCAAATGAGCAGGTGGAAATGGTGCTTGTTCTCCCTTTCTCTTACATGGGTTGACTGCCCGAGGCTTGTGTGCCTAGGTGGGATTCTTTGAGGCAAAGCAACAGGACCTAAGCATGGGAGGTATTTTAGCTTCTCTTTTACATTACTGGCATCCAAACAGGAGAGCTGGGCTGCTTTTCACCTGGTCCAGTGACAACAGAGCAGGACCTAGAACTCTGGCACCCAACACACAGCTCATGGGCTACACACAGCCCTCAGGCCCTCTACCTGCGGTCTGTTGGGCACAGGAAGCAGAGTGGAAGCAGGGTTCCAGGTGCTGGAACTGAATGAGAGAGATAGTTCTAAGGCTGGAGTTATCTCCGCCTGTAAGCAGGTTCTAAATGTTTTTGTTACTTTTTGGTTATTTTTCTATTGTTACTGTATTTATGGGGTAATGTCACTTAAATATTTTGGCTGATTGCTACAGGGGTCAGGTTGTGTGTGACCTCTGCAGATGTGTTGCATCCTGTCTGTTTTGGTGTATATATACACTTTATTACCAAAAGTATTGGGAAGCCTGCCTTTATATGTACATGAATTTTAATGGGATCCCAGTCTTAGTCTGTAGGGTTCAATATTGAGTTGGCCCACCCTTTGCAGCTATAACAGCTTTAACTCTTCTGGGAAGGCTGTCCACAAGGTTTAGGAGTGTGTCTATGGGAATGTTTGACCATTCTTCCAGAAGCGCATTTGTGAGGTCAGGCACTGATGTTGGACGAGAAGGCCTGGCTCACAGTCTCCACTCTAATTCATCCCAAAGGTGTTCTATCAGGTTGAGGTCAGGACTCTGTGCAGGCCAGTCAAGTTCCTCCACCTCAAACTCTCTCATCCATGTCTTTATGGACCTTGTTTTGTGCACTGGTGCGCAGTCATGTTGGAACAGGAAGGGGCCATCCTCAAATGTTTCCCACAAAGTTGGGAGCATGAAATTGTCCAAAATATCTTGGTATGCTGATGCCTTAAGAGTTCCCTTCACTAAAACTAAGGGGCCAAGCCCAACCCCTGACAAACAACCCCACACCATAATCCCTCCTCCACCAAACTTTACACTTGGCACAATGCAGTCAGGCAAGTACCGTTCTGCTGGAAACTGCCAAACCCAGACATGTCCATTAGATTGCCAGAGCAGCATGTTCCTCACTCCAGTGAACATGTCTCCACTGCTCTAGAGTCCAGTGGTGGTGTGCATTACACCACTGCATCTGACACTTTGCACTGCTCTTGGTGATCCAAGGCTTGGATGCTTGGATGCAGCCGCTTGGCCATGGAAACCCATTCCATGAAGCTCTCTATGCACTGTTGTGCTAATCTGAAGGCCGCACAAAGTTTAGAGGTCTTTAGCTATTGACTCTGCAGACAGTTGGCGACTTCTGTGCACTGTGTGCTTCAGCATGCACTGACCCCACTCTGTCATTTTACATGGCCTACCACTTTGTGGCTGAGTTTCTGTTGTTCCCAGTTGCTTCCACTTTGTTATAATACCACTAAGAGTTAACTGTGGAATATTTAGTTTCAAGGAATTTTTACAGATGGATTTATTGCACAGGTGGCAACCTATCACGGTACCACTCTTGAATTCACTGAGCTCCTGAGAGCAAACCATTCTTTCACAAATATTGCAGTCTGCATGCTTAGGTGCTTGATTTTTTACACCTGTGGCCATGGAGGTGATTGGAACACCTGAATCCAATAATTTGTAGGGGTGTCCCAATACTTTTAGAAATATAGTATATCTGCAGAGGCTTGGCCTGGGAATGTTGGGCCTGTTGACCTATGGGAGTTTGTTGGTTAGGACAGACTTCTGCAATGTGATTTCTTCTCTACTTCTGCTAATCCCTTTAAAAGGGTCTATCTTCAAGAGTTCCAGTATTTATGGACTTTGTTGCTATGGACATTACACAGGTATAGGCTGCACTGTTGTTCATGCACCTTATCTTTTGGGAAAATCGTGTTATGTTCAGTAGTACAGCCAATTCTACCTCAGCCAAATTATGTGAGCTGACTGTACATGTGTAGGAAGATTGATGAGAGACGTACCTGTATTGTCCAAGTACCTCAGTAAAAAGTATTTAAAGCAAAGCAGTTGTCAGTGTCAGACGCCCACAGTACAGGGGCGGACTGACCATTTGGAAACTCGGGCACTGCCCGAGGGCCCGGGGTCAGTAGGGGGCCCCATGAGATGCCCCTGGTCCCTTTTTTCATAGGCTTTTTTCAGTTTGGGCAAGGACACAGGGGCCCTATGATCCCCTATTGCCCGGGGGCCCCATGAGTTGTCAGTCCGCCCCTGCCACAGTATAATTAAAATCCTGACCTGGGGAGACGGAGAGAGTGATGCGGGAGCATGGGATGGGTAAGCTACCACCAGTGAAAGGATGGGAGTTAACTTTTATTGCCATGACCACCAATTCCCCAGGGAAGAAGGGGAATGGAAGGTTAACTTTCAGTACTATTACCACCAATTCAAGGAGAGATGGAGGGTTAACTCCCACTGCCACTGACCACCAATGTGTGTGTGTGTGTGTGTGGTTACATTTTACTTCCATAACCACCAATGCACCAGAGGATAGGTTAAATTTCACTGCCACTGATGCAGGCGGAAGAAGTTAAATTTCACTGCCAGTGACCAGCAAGGCAGGAGGGGTTAACTCTCACTGTCATTGACCACTAATGTAAGGATGGGGTTAAATTTAACTGCTATAACCATCAATGAGGGAGAGATGGAGGGTGTTAACTTTCACTGCCACTGACCACCATTGCAGGATGGGGGATAATTCACTACTACTGACCACCATTGCAGAATGGAAGAAAATTCACTGCTACTGACCACCAATGCACGGGATCTAGAGAACAATGGGGGCAGCAGGATTTTCTTGGTACTGACAAAGACAAACATCTACAGGTTAAAACCTCATACTTTTATTACAGAAAGATATAATATATAAAAAAACAACATTGCTTGTTTAAAAATCCCTCTGAGTAGGCTGTACTACAATCACACCAATGGTGCTGTCTCACACCTACAAGCTGTTATTCCAAAGTAAAGTTGAGTCTGTAGTCAGCCAATCTCAATATGTTTTGCGGTTTCCCACTTCTTCAGGAGTATGTTGAGGGAATATGGTTCTATAACAAAACAAAAAATATACAAATAATACAACATCAAAAAACATAATACAGTTTATCATAACATAATATGGGTGCATTGTAAATGATGACTGTCTTGGCACTTACCCCAGGGCACTGGATGGATCTAAAGAGCCAGACCACAGTGAGGCATCAAACAAAGTTCCCCTGGGGTGAACATGGGAGCAAGTCTAAAGGCCATAACTGCCTATATGCATATAATGAAGATTATTTTAGAATAAACACCATATCATGGCTCTATCCAATTTCAACTAGGAATAACAAGAGTAGGTATAAAACATACTCTTTTGAATAGATAATTAGGATGTAGGTATCTCAACCTTGGGTTAACACCCATCAATACTGAGCACTTGCTTTTTGAACACCAATGCAGGGGGCTTAAATTTCACTACAAGTGAACACCAGTGTTGGGGGCTTAAACTTAATTACCAGTGGGGGTCCCAGTGACAATTGCACCCCTCATTTCGTGCCTGCTGTCACTCAGACATGAAATGTGGTGAACTCTCCCCAGCAGTGTGCAGGACTGCGATAAAAACCTGTTTCTGGACAAATGGCTAAGCCCTTCTTGTTTCTTGGAAAACAAAGGAAATTACATTACAATCATGTAGTTCCACTAAAAAGAACATTACGTTATGCAGGCATTACACATTACCACCTAGTGACAAATCTACTAATTAAAATATAATATATGAGAATTGTTGTTACATCTATGTCTGTAAAAACAGCATGCTAACAAAACCCATGAGTTTCCAACCATCCCATAGATTTGCAGTTTAATAAATGTTGTTGCATGAAAATCCAGCAAAATTTACTGTTTAATATCACTTTATTTTGCTTTGCAGCTAAATGTGAAATCAAAACTAAACCAGATAGAACTGCCGAGAAGAAATTGGTTGGGGTGTCTACCAAATCTACAACTAAGAAACCTAAGCAGGATGTCATAAAACGTCCACCAAAAGTCAAACCCCCAGCATCTCCAGCCCAGAACCAGGCAGGAGGGTCCATCCTCTCCCAAGTCATGCAGAGAGGGAAGTTCCAGCAGGTTGGTGACACAATTACTGTGAAGGTCGGTCAAACCTTGGATCTGCGCTGCAAGGGGACCTCAGTCCGATGGAACTACCCGCACTACCTGCATGAGGATGACGAGGGAAGACTCAAGTAAATGAAACAAGTATAAGTCTGTGTTGAAGAGACGCTGATGTTAGACCATTCAGTTCAACAACAACCTTACAGTAGAATTAAATGTGCATATAACATCTTTTATGCGTGTTATTTATCTGTAAATGTATCCCTTATGTAGACATCCAAAAGCCCTGAGAATGTTGCTGGGTGTCGCCATCTTGGATGTGATGTCCGCAACCCCAGCAGACGAGGGGCTATCACACAAGTGAAACGCTATGGTATTCCCCTTCACTTCACCCCAGACAGCTAAATAAAAATTATTTTTAGGAAGGTGATGAGAGGTAGTTGGGCCAACACAGACAGTAACTAAAAGCTCCCAGAAAAGGAGAGTGTTATGGCAGTAGGGAGAGGGCTGTGCTAAGGAATTGACTCTTCCTAAAGAAGTCAAAGTTATTGTAAGTTTGCTGCAGGCTAGAATTATGTGATGCACAGCGTTCTCTTTCTGTAATCCAACATTCACACAGTGCTTTCATTGCAAATCTGTCTCATTCAATGTAAAGTTATTGCAAAGGCACCTGCTAACCTGTCGAGCCTTCCCCTTACAGGATTAAACACTTCGGCCGGTACAGTCAGCTCATTGTGTTGAACACTACTGCAGCGGATACTGGTGAATTCAGCTGTGGTGGGTATCAGTGTACTGGAGATGGCTGCCATGGTGGAGAGGAGAAGACTGGCAAGACATTTGTGTTTGTCACAGGTAAGGTTCCCTTTAGTTAATAAGTTGACAATCACTGGTATAACTGTGTGCCTGTGAAGATTCTCATTTATCCAGGTCATGGTATACATAGTAGTAGTTAGTCACACTCAACTTTACTTGTTCTGTTCTGTTAAAGACATTTCAACACTCAACTATGTAGCTTCCTTGGCCCTAATAAGTGTCAAGCACATACTCCAGGTATATACTGTATGTTTATTATATTTACGAAGTGTAATACAAAGCCATCTGGGATTATTCTACTCTCTTTTTAACTTATTATAGATAAAAAATAACTTTTAGATTTTAGCTGTATGCAGTATGTTATTTACAATTGATTATAAAATCAATATTGCCTAGGTACTTTGTTTAGGATATAAACTGAAGTATACTGTAGGTATGGCACTGTTTACATAGTTACATTGGTCCAGATTGGATCGAAGTAAGTATGTATGTTCCATACTTGTGGGATCCCATGGAAGCTGGAAATCACTGTAGCAGGCACAACTGCAGCTGCCCTGCTGCATTATGAACACAAAAGGTCACTCACTTGTCATGGGTGCCATGTGGAGAAAACTTTGCATTTTAATCAATGAATGCAAAGCCTTCTCTGATTGGATAAGGTGAAGCAATAGGGCGATGACGTTTCAATCTTTGCAGTCATTGAAAAATTGCAAAGTGCTTTCTGAATAGCGCCAGAGCCAAGCAAGCAACCTCATGTGTTCATTAAACAGCAGGGCAGCTACTGCCAGGACCTAGAAGACAGTGGCAATCACTGCAGTATAGGTGTCTATTACAGTGATTTCCGGCTTCCATGGGGATCCCATAGGTATGGCACATACCTACTTGGACCAATGTAACTATGTGTAGTGCCCTCTAGTATACATAGTTGCTAAAAGTAGTTAGAGGTTTGATAGAAGTCTGGGTTTAGACAGAGGGTTACTTCAGGTTAAACTGGAGGGCTCTACAGGTCAGTCCTCTGGTACCTCCCCCTGCTCTAGAAGCTTGGAGAACCTCCTAGAATTCAGTAGGTGGAGGTGAGGAGGGGCTGATCTGCATATTAATGGGAGTGTGATCAATCCCAGGCAGGAGGCCTGGCAGTGTGGCAGACCAGCCCATAAATATGACAGAGCCTGGCTAGCAGGGGAGTCGGATGAAAGATGGAGGAGTGAAGTGCTGTTGTGTAGCCTGGGAGAGGGCCCCAGAAAAGGGTGGTTCTGCCTCCAGGGAGATTGGAGGAAAGAGGAAAGCCGAAGTGGGGAGGTCCATTGCCCTGCAGTTCACTAGGGAAGGACAGCCTACATAGGTTGGAGAGAAACCAGCCCAGCAGAAGGCCTATCCACAGATGCAAGACAAGGACAGTGCAAGTACTTCTACACCCCAGGGCCTAGAAGGGAGAAGTCTGCTGGATGCAAGTTCTTGGCAAGTCTTCAGGGGACATTTTATAGCTTACCCAATCCTTTGTCCTGGTATCGGATACCGTAGCCAGGTGGGCTGGTATTGTGTTGACTTAGGGGACTAAGAGCTCCTACAAGGTGGGACTTTGCTAAAAATCTACTTAAGGGAACTCAGAGCTTCTGCAAGCTGTCACTTTGCTAAAGACTGTCATGGTTCCGGCTGGAACTCAGTCAAATACCTGCAATTGTTTTAGTAGTCTAGAAGGAAATTGTCCTCATTCGTTATTCTTCAATCAGCTTGGGTATCCTATAACCCCTTTACCCTATCCAATTTAAATCTCCTAATAAGTATTAAAAAAAGCAAGCCCATGGACTGTTTCTCGTGTCTGGAAAATGCGTGTCCCCTGTGCAGGAAATAAGGGGGACCCAAAACTTCAAGCTTTCAAGGGGGTAGCACTACATATGTAAAAATTCCCATACCTAAACTTCAGCTTTAAGACTGTATCCACTATAAGACAATAAATGGAGATCATTTCGTTATATGAAAGCATGGCAAGTTACAATAAATTTTACTATCAAGTGAGACGAGGGACTGTCCATTTTTGTACAAACAGATTTAGTTTTGGTCACACATCTCATTTTTGCAGTGGCCTCAGGGATGAGGCTTGGGGGGATTTACTAAAACTGGATAACTCAGAATCTAGTGCAACTGTATATAGTAGCCAATCAGCTTCAAACTTTAGCTTGTTCAGTTAAGCTTTGGAAATAAAACCTGGAAGCTGATTGGTTTCGATGCAGAGCTGCACCAAATTTTGCACTCTCCAGTTTTAGTAAATCTCCCCTTTGGTGTTTTTGGGTGAAATATTGGTAAATTAGGTGCAAAGGCCATACTAGTCACTGGTCGCCTCTCTGTTAGAAAGAGTAACAATGAGTGTGTAGAATTGTATTTATAGTAATGAATGGAATTAACTTTAAGGCTCCGTGCTTTATAAAAAAATATCTCCTAGAGGAGTTTAGTGTTTTGCCTGTAAAGCGACTGGTGTTGTCCTATGTGTCCACGCACATTAGGTAGTCTAGAGGCATTTTTTAAGCTCAGCGTTTAGAGGCAGATTTTAGGGTTTTTTTCTGTTTTGAGTTTTTGAGAGCTTTTTTCGGGCAGAAAAAAAATGCTAAACGTTCCTAAATGCTAGTACAAAAAAATGCTCAAAGTTTGCGTTTTTTTCTGCCAAGAGCACTGGCATTTTTTTTAAGCCAGTGTGCATGGAGCCTTAGAGAAGCTCGAGCAAATAATGTTTGGGATGTCAAAATCTAATTGTCGAATTCATGGGGATATGATGTTTTTGTAACCATTGCATTCATTTCTGGAATAATCAGATATGATACTTTTGTTCTGTTCTTTTGTAGATCCCCAGGAACTTTTTGTCCCAACTGAAGATTATTATGTGGTTGTCCAAATGCGCACAAGACAACCAGCTCTGCTGCCCTGCCAGATCACCAACCCGTTAGCTAAAGTAACCTTGCACCGAGAGTTCCACCAGAGCAGATCCCTGTGGATGGGGCAAAAAATCTCCTTTGATCAGAAGAAGGGATTCGTCATATATCAACCACAGGTTTCTCTTGCTGGTTCTCTGTATTGTATTGCAGAGTTTGATAACCTTCGCCAGATGTCCACCAAGTATATGTTGATCTACGTGCACTGTAAGTACTCTTAGTCAAGATCTCACAGTTGTTTGATGAAGGAACATATTCAAAGATAAAAGATTTTAAAGTAAACCTTTATGGTTTTCAAGTGGAAAAGAAGGAACTAGATATAGTAAGGAGAGTAAACACAAGCAATTTTTCTAAAGTTATTTACATTCCACTAAAGTTTCCTGGCCAAACTTAAGGGGTGTAGTTATACTCAACCAGTGAAACTGCTGGTACATTTGTTCTGTGCAAAATCAAATGTTCTCCTTCCCATTCCTCTACAAGTCAAATATTATTTATTTATTAAAAAAATAAAGTGGTTTGCCTTGGTCGAGACCTATGCTTCTTTTTTCTACTTACCTTTTACTTCCCTTCTTCAACCCAAGATACTAATCTCTTTCCCAGTTTCATACTGGTCTGCCTATCTTGCTCACTACTACAACTCCTTTTCCCGATATGTTCGTACTCTTTTGCCAAAGGGGCTTCCTGGTACCTGCTTATTCCAACCGTACAGTAAACCATGCCCCCCCACAGGCTTCAAATTTCGTCCGGGCCTGCATTTAGCCAACCACATGTATAACTTCAAGACATTTATTTGCTGCTCATATACCAGTTATCTATTTTCCACTATATCTGTTGACTTCTATCCTATCTAATTATTACTTGGTGTTATCACTTACCTTGGCTTTTGCTGTTACCTGAGTTATGTACACATGTGCACAAATTCTCGAATTAAGGTTTGTATTTCAATACTTTCTAATAAAAATGTATTGAAAGTAACAAAATAGAGTGGTTTAGAAAAATACCGCAGTTTGGCCAATTGGTGAAGCTGAGGAACTTAACTTAGAAAAAAATGAGCGATCTTCCACTTTATCTAATGGGCCTTTATGCCAAATTTTCCCAAACCACTCTTTATTTTATGAATGAGTACCATTCAACTTGTAGAGGAAATAGATGGAGGACATTTTGCCCCATTTGCACAGAACAAATGTACCAGTTTCCCTGGATGGATAACTATGCAATATTATTATACATACAGCCCAAAATGTATGTATAGCCAAATCTTTGGATAGACTAGGGAAAGGTTATTTTTCATCTGTCTTTGTACCATTGGGGAAATTTCCCTTCACTTCCTGTCCTAGAGATGCAAAAGAAATCTCCCAAAGTGACAGGAATTCCCTTTACTTAAGAAGAGGTGTACTAATGGAAGATTTCTCTTTACATTTTAACCTGGTGGCAACTCTAAAGTTCTGGATTTCCCCTCACTTTCTTGGTGACAATGGCCATAGTACACATAGAGGAGTGCACGTGTACCCCCAACGGGGACACAGACAACAATAGAAACTTGCCAGAGGGTCTAACCATTTCCTACTCTATCCAAAGAAAAAAGGTTTAGCTTTAGATCTAGTTAAAGCAAAAGGTAAGTCCTTACCAGGGGCGGACTGACAACTCATGGGGCCCCTGGGCAATAGGGGATCATGGGGCCCCTGTGTCCTTGCCCAAACTCAAAAAATCCTATGAAAAAGGTACCAGGGGCATCTCATGGGGCCCCCTACTGACCCCGGGCTCTAGGGCAGTGCCTGAGTTTCCAAATGGACAGTCCGCCCCTGGTCCTTACATCACCTAGGGTGTCTCAGTGATGGAAAAAAATTATACAAACCACAATTGTTATTCCGTGCAGACCACCGAATTGTAGACATAAAACCAATATTTATGTTTAAACGCCTTGAAAGCCTTGCTAAAACAGATAGAAGTGAGCCATCTGCTTATGGTTTCTCGATTACATAGCCCTCACTAGTTCCACCAGGTGGCTCCCTTTCCACAGAAAAGCTGAGATGTAGCCTGGCCCTGTTCTTAGCTATTTATCATTAAACTGGCAGAAAAACGTTGAATGCGGCAAAAACGCGTGTAAACGCGGTACCGAATTTAGCTGTGTTTAGCACTTCAATGTTTATTCATTTGATTGGCCAGAGTATTTTCTAATGACATGAATTAAAGCCCAAGAGCTAAACGCGGCTAGCGTTTAGATGCATTTTTGCTGCATTTAGCGGTTTTTGGCCAAAACGTACCTCTCCAGAATGTGATTCTTCTATGTTCAAGAGAGGAACATTTAACTGCCCCTAAACTCTGCTGCTCCTAAACTCTGATAAAAGCTTATGTGTACATGGACACATAGGCATTGATTGAGTTGAGTTCAGGAGCTTTGACAAAAATACGCCAAAGCTCATAAACTCCCGTTTAGGAGCAGCAGTGTACATGAGGCCCAAAGATTCTATTTAGTACAGATTTTTCCTTTTCAGTTCTCTCCAAATAATACTTACTATAATACAGTCAGATTCCTCTTTCAAAAACCGCCTGACTATTCGGTGACTAATAACGCTGGCACTCCTTATTTACAGTATCCATATACACAGGTCTAATGTTAGACATTTATCAGAGCTGTCTGCATCAAGAAACACACTATTGGAGTTAGTTCCTTATTATATTGACCATGTAATACAAAAATCGGGGTTATTGCTCTTGTCTGTCTGGGGGAGCAGTCAGATCTGTACAGGTGATATCAGATCAGCACCAGTTTATTAGGTCCTAAAAATGAATACATAGGTTCCTGTATTGGTTTAACAGCTTTATCCTCCTGCAGGATGGTCATGCTTGTGTTTTGCTTCCTTTCTAGGAGAACCACAGTGAGTATTTTTAAATGCTTGTACATATGTGTCATTGACATCAAAGGACCTGCAGTATAGGAGCTACATTTAGTAGCAATAAACTGGCACCATACCGCCCAACTGACAGTCACTCTTTAGGAATTTACTACCTTTGTACTTCTTTACTCCTCAGTTGTCTCTCTTTTTTGATCTAATGCATAAAAATATTTTCAAAAAGTATTCTCTAACCTCAAGAAAAAGTTATTGCATAGGTTATCTTGAACCAGAAGTATGAAGAAAATACGTTTTGTAAAAAGAATCAGTGAGTTTAAAGTGGTTCTAAGACACTGGTGGTGACACTGATGTGCGTGGTGACTCTGATGGTAAAACTGATGTAAAAGGGGTCTCTGATGGGGACACTGATGTAAGAGTGAGACTCATGGGGACACTGATGTAAGGGGGGACCCTGATGGGGAGCTTGATGCAAGGGGGGGGACTCATGGGGACACTGATGTAAGGAGGGACACTGATGGGGAGCTTAATGCAAAGGGGGGGACTCATGGGGACACTGATGTAAGGGGGTTCTGAGGGGGAGCCTGCTGTAAGAAGGGACCCTGATGGGTACCTTGCTGTAAGGGAGGTGACACTAATGTAAGGGGGAACTCTGATGGGGACACTGATAAAAGGGCAGACTCTGTTATAATGTGGGACTCAGAAAGGGGCACTGATGCTAGGGGGACAGTGATGTAAGGGGGTATTCAAATGGTCACCTTGATGTAAGGGGTATTCTGATAGGGACACTAATGGAAGGAGGGACTTTGATGGGTGCACTGATGTAAGGAGGGACACTGATGTAAGGAGGGATTCTGATGGGATCACTAATGTAAGGGGACTTTGCTTTGGTTGACTAAAGTGCTTTCTTTTTGTTTTGAATGATATAATGTGGATTACAAAAAATACATAAAATGCATTCAATTATTCGTAAAACTGTTATTTTTCTGGCCTGTAAGTATTTGTAAAATACACAATGGAACCCTGGTACTGACAAGTTTTGAGACTCCTGCATTAGGCCTTATGCACTACGGGCATTTAGCCCCAGTACATGAGATTGTTTCATTTAGGTGCGGGTGGAAGGCACAGGTGCACCGTCTAGCCCAATTGCTGGCAGCCTGTAAAACACTTTGAGAGGTTGAAAGCTGCTGCAGCTGGATGGGGCTGCAATTCCTGTTGCTTGTGTTCCAAGCATTCATCCCTAGGTGCATATTGCCCTTAACATTAGTACAGCTCTGTGCACCGTCCTGCCCATCCAGCAACTATCAGCCGTTCATAGAGTTTAATAAGTTGTTAACAGCAGGCCTGGATGATGCGCCCAGTGTCTTCCATCCACACCAAAGCACCTAGAGTCTCATGCACCATTCACCAGTTCTAAACGCCCAATTTTTGTTCAGGAGGCCTTACAGTTCACAGTCTGAGAAATACCGATGCAGCTCTTAGTATCTAGAAACATTTGGCATGCATTTTTACAAGGTGGAACCCAAGTCTATTAAAAAATAGGAATATCAGAGACCGTAAGGATTTTCAGCCAGCTGATCCAAAAATCTGAAGCATATTGCAGAGAATTATTTGTGAGATGGGGAAACAGCTTTCATTGAACACTGATTTAAGTAAATTAAAAACGTTCTGACTGACATTCTGCAGTTTAGCCACAAGATGTCACTGTTTTTTTCTAACACAGCCTCAGACTGCATAGAGATTTCTATATTCATGAAGGGGTGGGGTTTTTACACTTGGAGAGTGAACAGGAAGAGGAGAGGAGAGCAGCTATGCTTGAGAGAGAGAAGGGGAACTGTGTGATCTGAGAATCCGATGCCATCCAGATGTGAGGACAGCCCTCCGTAATCAGAAATTCAGTTGAGTGAAGCTGATGGTGTTCAAGACGCTGATCCTGTTCAGAGAAAGGAAGATCGTTGCCAGGAAGGCTAATGAGATCGCATGCTTGTTGGAGAGACATCTGTTCTGAGTCACCAGCAGATGCAAGGCAGACCCGGGTCGGTAAGATCGTGCACGCACCTCATTTCAGTGTTGGCGCCTCCAGAAACTGAGACAGGTCTATAGTTAGTTAGTTAGGGTCTCTGTTTGTGTCAGGCCACAAGTGTTGTTACTGATCATTGGAAGGACTCCACAACTTAAAGTGACATTTCACATTGGAGAGCTGATAAAATCCTACAAACTCAAGCCAGACTGGCGTTTTGCTCAGAAGGAATACTCAGGCACGTGCTACAGGACCCGTTATGGGAGGGGGAATACTGTAGATTTGTGTAAGATTGTAAGCTGTTGTGCTGCACCGCAGGCTAGCCCATACCGTACACCCATACACTGATTCCTGCTCTTTTAGGGTAATAACAGGTAAGGTGTGGCAGCTTAGTTGTGCCCGCCAGTAGGTAAATTACTACACTTTCTACCTTCATCCATCAGAAGGCGCCGTGCTGTGCAGCACAAGGGTCTCAGCCTTTGGGCTGGGTGTATGTAAGTTTATTGTATGTTTCCAGCATTTGTGGTTTTGTTTATTTGCCACATCTAAGTAAAATTCTGTTGTGACAAAAGCTGGTGTTGGGGTTGCTTTCCTCGTTCATGACTTCACTGTATCCTGGGGAGCCCACCCTGGTACATGGCTTACATATTTACAGTTCACTATGTTTCTAATATGTATTTGTATACTGTTTCAGTTCCATCAGCTCCACCTAAACCTACAATTGAAGCATCAGTGAAGTCAGTTCGGGCTGGAGAGAATTTTGTTGTCACTTGCACTGTGCTGGGTGATCTGGACATTGCTGTAGATTTCACCTGGACCTATCCTGGGCAGAAGGTAAGAGGCAGTCCTGGAATCATTGGGCACCATTCACAGATTTCATGGAGTATGTAGGTGTCCTGACACATTTTCAGTAAATAACGCATGAACAGGCCAGGGAAGGAGGGGGGGCACGAGTGCATCTCCCTGCTGAACCATACCAGGCCACAGCCCTCAACATGTAGGGAGTGCTTTAGGGCTGGGTCCCCAAAGCCCCTTGCCCCCAGGTCGATGGGGACAAGGGCCTCTTCCCCACAACCCTGGCCGGTGGCTCTGGTGGTCTGTGGGTGGGGGGCTTATCGGAATCTGGAAGCCTCCATTAACAAGAGGGGCCACCAGATTCCCCCCCCCTCCCCATGTGAATGAGCATGGGGTATACCTATTCATTCACCAAAAAAAATGTACTGTAAAAAAACACAGGAGGCAGTTTTTGACAAGTCCTTTATTAAACAAAAAAAAAAATAAAAATACGGCCCCCGATTTAGATCCATCATCAATCACCTAATGCCCACCACCACTGCCAACTTGAAAAAAAAAAAAGCTCCGCTTTTGACGAAGGCTTCCACCCTCTGACAGCTCTGCTGTCTCCTGCTGCTAAATAAACTAAGTGCAGGTGCCACCCCGTGATTTCACTGGGTGGCACCACCCCTTTGTGATGTCCTTGACCTAGCATGGAAGAGGTCCCCATGTCATTTTCATTGCTGGCATTTCTTTTTTATGCATTATCATTCTCAATAATTGCTAAGGACGCAGTGGTCGCCGGCTCCTTAACAATCATCACAGTTACTGCTTGTTAAGGACACCAGTGGCTGCCTTCTCCTTAAAACGTGGTATTTACTACTCTTAATAAATACGCCAGGATTTAAATTTTTTATTTTTTTATTTTTATTTTTTCAGGTACTTATATAGTGCCATCAATTTGCACAGCACTTAATTACCTTATGTTTTCACTACTAAAATACCGCATAACTGTATAAAATAAGTCGTGGTATTTTAGTAGCGTTTTTTAGTGAATGCCAAAAAACGTTTTAAAAGCGCTGTGTGGTATGCTAAAGACAATTTGTGAATGGAGCTCATTGTTCTTATACTATACTATACTATAACTGTTTTAGTGTTTACTTCTATCCTTCATTTAAATAGATAACACTGTTCAACAGGTAAAAAGTTTTGGGCATAAAATTAGCTAATCTTACATAATTTTGGGGTGCTGAAAACGAAAATGACCCTAAAAAATGTTGATTGGCTCTAGTTTCCACGATATATTCACCCATCTAATGATGTAAGCCATTCAAAATTATGATGCAACTTCAGCTGCATATTGCGCAATTGATACTGGTGACCAATAGAAAATTGCATGTATACTGAGATGATGCAATATTAGCCTTTAATTGCATCACTTCACTGCATAAAAGCTGCAGTATCTGTAGCTGATTGTAGTTCGACAGCGTCTTTACATTTCGTTTTATGCTTATATAGGCTACTCAGTAATGCCTCGAACTTTAATTATAATTGACCAACAATTCTATTGGTTAATCATTTTTATACAAGATTTATGTAGCAGAAGTGGTTGTTCAGTGCATTACAAAATAGGAAAGAGGGTTACAAAATAATAAAACAAATAATAATACAAAACAAGAGGATTGCTCGTGAAAGCTTACACTCTAAAGAGAAGGGGAAATGATACAAAAGGCATTCTTTGTGAGGGAAGACCTGATGGAAAAAGTAAAAGTTCAGTTGTTAGGTGCAAGGCGGATAGGCCTCCCTGAGGAGATGAGTTTTCATGGATTGTCTTGAAGGATTGTCTTTTCAACGATTGAAGGGCCCATTCACACTAGGAACAGCATTTGAATTGCAAAGGAACATGCTGCATTTCTGTGCAATTTACATGCAGTCCTGTGTGGTGCGATTTCAGCCCATTCATTTTGAATGGGTTGAAATCGCACCACACAGTACCAAAAGTAGTGGGTGTACTACTTTTGGAAATGCACTACAACCGGATTGCATGGTACTTTTGTACCATATGATTCAGTGCAGACAAACACACAGTGTTTGTGACCTGCGTTTGGGTGTCAGTAACTTTGCACTGACACCCACTGCAGATCGCAAGGGCAGTGTGATTTAAATGCAGTGCGGGAAACTGGCCAGGAACAAGTGTAGCTACCACATCTAAGGACCGGTAAGGTGCAATACTGTATATTACATTTTTGTTCTTGACTTTACACTTTAACCTCTTGCCGCCACATTTACTGCAGGGGGCGGCAGGGGCAGGCTCAGTCACATATATGTGTGTATATATATATATATATATATATATATATGACTGGCCTCTTCTGGGTCTGTGAGTGTTTACACGTGCACCCCCCTGCCAACCCGCGCTGTGTTCAAACACAGCGCGGTTTTTTGTCAACAGGTTTCAGCCAGTGGTTTAGGCTGAAACCTGCTGATCGCCTGTGTCCAATCACAGTCCGGATTCCTGTGTTTACAAACACACAGGACTCTGTAAAGAGAAGAGTAAACTTACTGCTTCCTCTCCCTGGAAAACAGGGAGAAAAAACAGAAAGATCTGCAAGCAAAAGCAGCACATATTACACACAGTAGATGTGTTAGGCGCACAATTGACGCCTTGATCGCCCCTAGATGTTAACCCTATCCCAGCCAGTGTCATAAGCACAGTGACAGTGCACAGTATTAGCACTGATCACGGTATTAGTGTCACTATTAATGTCAGTGTCAGTTAACCAGATAGTGAACCTCCCAGCCAGTGTCAGCTAGTGCCAGATTGGCCACCACACTATCACAGTCCCAATATAAGTCACTGATCACTGCCATTACCAGTATAGCGTCATAGCTGCTTAAATTACAGTTGACAGTAAAGGAAATGCGTATTTGATCCCCTGCTGATTTTGAATGTTTGCCCACTCACAAAGAAATGATCAGTCTAAAAATCAAATGGTAGGTGTATTGTAGCACTGAGAGACAGAATAGCAACAAAAAATTCTAAAGAAATGCATGTCTAACAGATTGCACCAACTGTTGTCACCTTTTCACCAAGCTGCTTGGTGATAGTTTGGTAGCCCAGTACAGCCTTGTGTAGGTCTACAATCTTGTCCCTGACATCCTTGGACAGCTCTTTGGTCTTTGCCATGGTGGAGAGTTTGGAATCTGATTGTTTGATTGCTCCTGTGGACAGGTGTCTTTTATACAGGTAACAAAATGAGATTAGCAGCACTCCCTTTAAGAAACTGCTTCTAATCTCAGCTTGTTACCTGTATGAAAGACACCTGGTAGCCAGAAATCCTGCTGAATGATAGGGGATCAAATACTTATTTCCCTCATGAACATGCAAATCAGTGCATAATGTGTTAGACGTGCATTTCTTTTGAATTTTGTGTTGCTATTCTGTCTCTCAGTGTTACAATACACCTACCATTCGCTTTTTAGATTGATCATTTATTTGTGAGTGGGCAAACATTCAAAATCAGCAGATGATCAAATACTTATTTCCTTCACTGTATATCTCATAGTTTATAGACGCTATAATTATTGCACACACTAATTAATACACTTATTGGGATTTTTTTTTCACCAAAGACATGTAACAGAATACATTTTGGCCTAAATTTATGAAAATAAATACAATTTTTTAAAAATTTAAAAGTAAAAAATATTTTTTTTTCATTTGCGTACAGAGTTGCATGACCATGCAATTGGCACTTAAAGTAGCACAGTGCTGAATTGCAAAAAAATATCCTGTTAATGAAGGGGATAAAACCTTCCAGAGCTCAAGTAGTTAAACCAAACAGTCAGTATTAAAGTGTCTCTCTAGGTAAAATCTTTTTTTGTTTTTAGCTTTGAGACAGAATGGAGGAGGGTTAGACCTACTGTTTTTATTGCTGTTAGTGTCCTCATTGGTGGGATTCACCCTTATTTGTAACTGGTGATCATTGTCACCATGAAACAAAGTGAGGGAAAATCAAAAATGTTAGCATTGTCCCCACAAGAAGAGGTAAAGGGACACCTGTTCTGGGGATACTTGTTAAAGAAGGGAAATTCTTCGAACGTCCTTCTGCATGTCTGGGACAGGAAGTGGAGGCAAATTTTCCAAAGGAACACAGACAACAAAAAATTAACCTGGCAGGGTTTTAAGCCTTCCCTAGTCTATCCAAAGCATTGAAACATTTTGGCTATACTGTATATATTATAAATTCTTTTTACATTTGGGAATAAGAAAATTGTTGACAAACAATACCCTCTTCTACAGATTGGTAGACCTCCTTATGTCCGAGAGAGCAAATCCCAGACCAGAAGAGGTGGCCAGTTGCTGCAAGTGTCTCAAACCATCTTGAGTATTGACGAATCTCGAGCAGGGGATGATGGCACCTATACCTGCACTGCTCAGAACCTCCAGGGGAGCACCTCAGTGAACACAAAGGTTTCTGTCCTTCCTGCTGCTGCCACAGCCAGAAACTAAGGACAACACCATAGGTCTTGTTGTACAAATGTGTAACCAAAGTCAGTAGACTAATGGGGGTTTATTTACTAAAGCTGGAGAGTCCAAAATCAGACTCCCTTCTGCATAGAAACCAATCAGCTTCCAGGTTTCATTGCCAAAGCTTCATTGAACAAGCTGAGGTTAGAAACTGATTGGTTTCTATGCAGAAGGGAGTCTGATTTTGGACTCTCCAGCTTTAGTAAATAAACCCCATGATATCATGGAACTTTATGGACTTCACAACCATGTGACTGCCAAATCAAAAATAATCCTTTGTGCGGTGTTGAGAAGACTGGTTTTACAGCCTTATAGTATATCAGTCCCTAAAGACATGGCCTTGTATTAGTCACATAAGTGTATTAAAGTGCACATCCCATATTAAGTTACAGTTTTTCTGTTTTATGACTCAAATTACAAGCATGAAAATCATTCCGGTGTCACTGACATATCACTAGAATATTCTCTGGAGCAGAAATCACTACTTAAAATAGATGGAATCTGTAACTGGATCACATTTAGGTTGCTAAAGCACTTTGTCCCGTAAACAACTCTCATGATGTTTCCCCATAAAATACTGTTTTCTCCTATTTTTCATTCTCTTTTGAAGCTCAGTTCTGCAGATCTTTTCAAGCCTCTTTCAGCGACTACATCATTCTCTCTCTCCAACATCAAATGCTTTACTTTGCTCTGGACCGGTTTACTGATAGGGACAACATTGTACCATGTCTACACAATGAATGTTGGCACCAGCAGCTGTTGTGGTGCAGTGCAGATGGTTCCCATATGTGCCTTGTGGTGCATTTGGAAAGATGCAGTGGGTTGCCAATTCAAAATGGATGGCTTCACTGGACATTAGCAATGCTGTGTTATTGTTATTATTATTATACAGGATTTATATAGCACCAACAATATAAGGGAGACAGTACAATTACAATACAGTTCGATACAGAAGAAATTGGAGGGCCCTGTTCATGGAGCTTACAATCTAAAGGGAGGAGGATATGGTACAAAAGGTAATAGTTGCAGGGGATGGTCAGATGGAGGTGACTCAAGTACAGTTCTTAGGTGGAGGTGGGGTAGACTTCCCTGAATAAATTAGTTTTTTATTGTGCCTAGGCGGACACCATATGATAATTCTTAAATCCGGAGACTGGTTGCTCAGGCACTGAGCATTAAAGCATGTGATGTAGAATAGAGGCATGCCTGAATCAGATGACGGTTTGGAGCTCAGTACGTTTGTGAGCCTGCCGGGGTCAGTGAGACAACAGGCACTTAAAACAGCGGCCTGTTGCTGGTGCAGGTTTTGATCTCTACACATTCAAGTTTGTGTTATCCAGCTTGCTTTAAATCTAGGCAAGCACAGGCAACTAAGTATTTAGAATGTTCAATTTAAGATATCAGCTAACTTGCGTATTAGCACTCTCCCCCCCCTCCCCACTTGCACCATGCAAACAGCAGATGCTAAAATCAAAAGCACAGCAAATATTTCAACATGCAGTGTTGCGAACCAGCCAAGTAATTATTATTGAGTAATTTGTTTCTCAATGTATTAATAGCCCACAAACTGTAAGGGTGAGTTTAGATTGGAATTTCTGACGTTGTGATTTTTCTTAATTAACTCCTAGACGCCGAGCGCACGCAAATATGCTGCCTCTCGGTGCCCGGGCCTTGATGCCGAGCGGCCGCATATTTGCGTGCTATTAGAAAAAAACATATGTGCTAAGAGTGCGCCCCCTGAGCGCTCCCAGCACATATGTCCGTGTCTCACGGAAAGGTCCCAATCTCCCCTTGCGATCAGGACCTTTTTCCGATCATCTGACTGCCGTGAGAGCGAATCACGGTGGTCACATGACCCTAAAAAGCCCACCCGCTTCTGAAACTCTTAAAGGGCTGGGAGGCACTGGCGCAAAGGAGTTAAGAATTGACTGGATTTTTTTTTATGCAGCACTTGAATGGGGACCACACTTCTATCACAGAAGTGTGGGAAAAAGCAGTCAACTCCCAAAAGCTCAATTAATTATTGAAGCGGATCACAATCCTCACACTCATGTAATGGGTTAGCACAATGCCTGTTTACACTGCTTTAATTTGCTCAGCATGTACAATGTCACATTTTTATTAAAAGAGAAGTGTGGGATTTCAAAAACAAACATACATACTCACCTAGGTGGAAAAAGCATCAGTCTGATGCTGCATCTGTCTTCCACCACCTTGAAGACTGAGATCTGAGCGATCAAAGACCACTGGTTTCTCAGTTCTTGGCTTCACCCTGATTACAGAGTGGTGACTGCCAGTCATCAGCTCTGTGCTCTGCCCCTCCAGTGTTCACAGGAACACCGGGCTGTGAAGGGAACGGGATTGCCTGGCTCAGTCTCTCAGTGGCACAGTGATGTCAGTACTTTGCAAGCAGAACCCTAAAAAAGCAAGCAGAGGGCAAAGGCCTTGTTCCCAGTATTTCCTATAGCTGATCATTTTATCATCACTTACTTTTTCTGCACCGTGTTTCTGTGTGGGCCATCATCGAGGTTGCAGTGCAGGATTTTGTTTGCTCAAGTCAGAGCTGCCCTCTTCCCCCTTGACTTGCAATGTCATGACTGGGAGGAGGGTAGCAGTAGAGGTGTAGGAAGAATAGGTTCACAATGAATGAGGCAGGAAGTTTATTGCAGCCTCTCTCATCTGGAGTGCCATCTAGGCTCCTCAGGGGTGCTGTGGAAAATTGCTAAATACTATACCAAGAAAAAGGCAGGTGGATCAAGTAGCTTCATCCAAGCCTACCTTAATACAAGACCTGACCCTATGCAGGGCTGACTGCCTGCACCCTACCAACTGATGATATCATCAGTTGCTATATCGGGCACCTGCACAGGTGGCCGTTTTGGCTGATCCAGCAGCTGAAAATGGGGAGGAGAGATAGTAACTCTGAAAGCCTTCCATCTCCAGCCCTGCAGTAAGTGGCTGATAGACAGAATTCCTGCTGAGGAAGTTTCTTCCCGTCTGCTCACTGACTACCCTGCCACTACATACTGCTCACTGATTGCCCTGTAACTACATACTATTTATTTCCTTGCCACTACATACTGCTCACTGACCACCCTGCCACGTCATACTGCTGACTGACCTCCCTGTAACTACATACTATTTACTGCCCTGCCACTACATACTGCTCACTGACCACCCTGCCACTACAAACTATTTACCACACTGCACTACATACTGCCCTGTAACTACATACTATTTAACATCCTGCCACTACATACTGCTTACTGACCACCCTGCCACTACATACTGCTCACTGACCACCCTGCCACTACATACTGCTCACTGATCACCCTGCCACTATATACTGCTCACTGACTGCCCTGTAACTACATACTATTTACCACCCTGCCATTAAATACTGCTTACTGACTGCCCTGTCACTACATACTCCTCACTGACTATCCTGTCACCACACACTTCTTACTGACTGCCTTGCTACTACATACTGCTCACTGATTTGAATATTGCACAGGTACAGGAAAACTCTGTGTTCCAAACTACTGACCACCAAACTCTGTCAAAATCTACATTTTAGGCCTTGTTCACGTGGGCGTATTTAAGTGCACACCTATATGAGGGCTGTGTTTGCCTGCACAGGTGTCCCATACAATCATATGCAGGCAGTCCCATTCATGTCAATTGGAACATAGCAGCTGCAAGGACACATCCACTGCTCCAAAGTTGACATCTGTGTGGTGTAGGTGTCCCCCCCCCCCCGAATGCAGACAATGTGAGTGTGGGGACACAAAACCACATAAATATCAAATTAGGAGCAGTGGCTGTGTCTATGCAGCTGCTGCATCTTAATTGACATTTTTTTTAGGTGGAATTCAAAGAAAAATATAAATTATTCAGGGCATCACTTAGGTAAAATTGACATTTCTCGATATTTCCCATAGGAGAGCAAATCTCTATTTTTTAAGTTGAGGTCTGCTTTAATATGAATAGATATACCATAAAGGTCTTGTGATTGCATCTTGTAGGACCTTCAGTAGTGTTGATGATGCAGTTCACACTTTATGAATATTATTATGCGTCAAAGAGGGTTCTTCATTTTCAACACGCTGTCACCTGTTTGAATAGAACTGATCCAGAACTGAAATACTTTCCACCAAGGATCTAAACTTAAAAAAAGTAAGAAGGAGCTTGTGAAAGGTCAATGAGGATGCAAATCATAATTGAATAATAAATTGGACCAGTGTTCACAAAGATAAGATGAATTTATTAAAAGGCATATGAGAAATAGAAATTGTACAGTACATCAGCTAAAGTGGAAATGTCACCATGAAATGTATACAGAATAATTTATTTTCAAGACAAGGGTGTCCAGCCTCTGAGGTATCCTTTAAATGTTACCATTGAAATCAGAAGCACGGTTCACAAAGAACGTTGCTTCATCATGTATGCTACTAGTAGTGCTAAAATCCTGCAACCGAAACGGACTTAACAGAGGTGTACGCCAAAATATTTATCAAAGCTGCCAATGTTGATCCCCTTCTGAAAATTCTAATTGCTGGTGTTGAGTATTTTTCATAGACACCGACATGAAACAAGCATGCAGATCAGTAAAGTGAGAGTGAAATCAGAGCTCCTAGTCTGCATACTCATTCCAGGATAGTGACTCAGATGCCTATGGATTAACATGACACTAGTAATGTGGTGTGAACAGGGCACATAGAGATCAATTGTTTTTTGTGCTCTTGCAGAACGTGTGTACAAAAACTCAGGACTCTGCACTATGCTGTGAACCAGGCCTAAGTCTTCATGCACACTGGGTTTTGAGAACGTTGGTAACGTTAGCTGTTTAAAATCATGTTAAAAACATGAGTTTTTTCAGCTTTTTTTAGCGTTTAGCCGCGTTTTCCCACGTTGTATTTTTTACCGTTTTTAAAAGGAAAAAACATTTTTTTGGTCCAAAAACCTAAAAAATGCCAGTTTGCCGTGGTTTACCACGTTTTGCCACGTTTTTCAGCATTAGAGTGTTTTTACAGCTAAAACACTCCTCTAGAAACCCACTAGTCCTGGGTTTTTTTTTCCAGCCAAAAAACATCCCTGCCAAAAAAACATTGATTACAGTCTATGTGTGCATGGTCACATAGGATACCATGCTGCTGGGTTTACTAGCTGTAGAAAAAAAAACGTCAAAAGCCAAAAACTGTAAAACCGTCCAGTATGCATGAGGACTAAATGTCACCCTTGTACAGGAAAGTAGTCATGGCATCTAAGGAAATATAAACTGCAATAAATTATATTTTAGGTATCCTAGAAGGGCTTTTATTATTGGTAATCTTTCCTATTTACAGCTCCTTTAGATGTCTAGATGTGGATGCGTGCATCTAGTTAATCACCCAATGACAGCTGTTTCCATGGTGCAACTAAACAAATCATTAGTACAGCAAACATATCACACTGCGGTGGTGCAATATTCCCATAAAAAGTGACGTTCTTTAGTACATAATGTGCTTGCATGACATAAAGTGCTCTTAAAGTGCTATATCGGGGTTCTACACCACCTACAGCATTCAGCAGAAACCATACTGTACAGGGGGATCAATGTGATGAATAGGAGGATGGTGTTGGGTTGCTGTAAGGACTATTTAAATGCTGAAGAACTTGTTCAGAAACAAAAACAGAATACAGTATGCCCTGAGAGCTATAATAAGGCACTGGGATTCATTAACTGAAAAGGAAAGGCATTGACAGCATGATGATTGAAGTGACATTTCCACTAGAACATTAGTCAGTTTATATCAATGTTGTCAGTTGACCTGGTAACAGTATCTACAGCTACCTTGTATTGTACATACGTGCAAAAAGATCTGTTTGGGGTTTTATTGAAGGTTTGGGGATAAGTGCACCTTTGTGATCAAAACAAAAATGTTACATGGCTCATCATGGTTAATTTGGTGTCAGGAGCCTTAGCACAGTTTCCATACAGCATATGCATTCAATGAAGTGTAGAAAATACACTAACCAGCCACTTTATTAGGTACACCTGTTCAATTGCTTGGTAATGCAAATTGCTAATCAGCCAATCACATGGCAGCAACTCAATGCATTTAGGCATCTAGACATGGTGAAGATGACTTGCTGCAGTTCAAATCAAGCATCAGAATAGGGGAAGAAAAGGGGAATTAGGTGACTGAATGTGGCATGGTTGTTGGTGCCAGACAGCAGGTCTGAGTTTTTGAAAAAACTGCTGATCTACTGGGATTTTCACGCAGAACCATCTCTAGAGTTTATAGAGAATGGTCAGAAAAAGAGAACGTATCCAGTGAGCGGCAGTTGTGTGGATGAAAATGCCTTGTTGATGTCAGAGGAGAATGGGCAGACTGGTTCCAGATGATAGAAAGGCAACATTAGCTCAAATAACCACTTGTTACAACCAAGGTATGCAAAATACCATCTCTGAATGCACAACACGTCAAACCTTGAAGCAGATGGGTTACAGCAGCAGAAGGCCACACTGAGTGCCACTCCTGTTAGCTAAGAACAGGAAACGGAGGTTACAATTTGCACAGGCTCACTAACATTGGACAATAAAACATTGGAAAAATGTTGCCTAGTCTGATGAGTCTCAATTTCAGTTGCGACATTTAGATGGTAGGGTCAGATGGATCCATCCTGCCTTGTATCAACAGTTCAGGCTGGTGGTAGTGGTTTAATGGTGTGGAGGATATTTTCTTGGCACTAGCAAGGTGTACCTAATAAAGTGGCCGGTGAGTGTATGTGCACAGTGAGAACAAGCTTTCTAGGGTTATATAGGGAATAAGAAATCCATTCTTTTAGATGTAAATGTATACCCCCGGCCAATCAGGAGCTAGAGAGTATGCATATCTAAAGTGTTATCAGGGATGCCTCTTTTGATACTAGTCCCTATGCAGAGAACAATATAGGAAATTTGAACTGGCAGGACCATCGCTGACCCCCTACTGTACATCGATATTTGCTCACTTAATTGATTGGCCTGGATGTACCCAACAAACTAAAGCTTTTGAAATGGGCGCTTATGTTTTAAATAAGAACTTACATTTTAGAGTACTTTCTATGTTTACTGATTGCTCCATTGAGCAAAACTATAGCAAATTCAAGTCTACAGGTTTGCATACATGGACCACTGGCTGTCAAGATTACCTATCACTGAACAGTCAAACATGACAAAAATTTTTATAATTAGGGCTCTTTCACAAGAGCTTTGATCTCTGAAGAGAGATCCGCTTTCAGATCACTGTTCCGTGAGCATTTGACATGTGGTGAGAGGTGTTTTTTTCGCCTCAGCTCCTGTTTTCAACCCCTGGGTGACCGAACCTACTGCACCGCAACCATATGTACTGCATGCAGTTGTGGGACGCTTGCAAAGTGGCCTTATTCTGTTGAATGGGTTGCGTTTGGCAGCCGTTATGACCTCTGAAAGTGATAGGGGGTATAATTCCTGCTGCAGCTACAAAGCAAAGCATTGCGGCCACAGCATAAGTACACCCCCGGCTGCTGCCTCTGCAGCTAAAGTACAGTTAAGCCATAGGCTTTTACAGCCCCCCAACCGCTAGTGTGAAAGAACCCTTAGACAATTACATTTGGAAGCAAGCATTAGTGGTGTATGGTGAGCGGATGAAAGGGATTCAGCTTGATTCAGAGATCTAAGAGAAAGAAGAGAATTAATCATAACAGCTGTGCATGGCAACCAATCAGCTTCTATCTTCAGCTCTGAAGATGGAAAACTGAAGCTGATTGGTTGTCATGCACACCTGCTCCAGATTCTGGCTTAAGTTTTCATAAATTCCCCTGAAGGAGTTATAAATGTATATATGGATGGTCAAGAGAATTCCCTAGAGTCTAAACTCTTATACAATTAAAAGAAGGTATAAATTCACTGTAAAGAAAAAAAAAAAAAAAAAAAAGCACCCATAAGATTCTGAGCCATCAACTATGTATTCAAGCATGCGTGGCTCTAGGAGCATGATGGGAGTGGGGCTTTAATAAAATCCACAGGCTGTTCCTTGACAGTAACAGAAATAAAATATAATGCTACTCATAAAAAAAAAAGTGCTCACAACACACAAGCATGGCTAAAACTATAGCAAATAAAAAAATATTTACATCTGTAACTTTTCAGGACTGGTGATGTGAAAAGTGCAATTAATGGGATAGACCGCTTAAACAGATTGCCCATTTTTGGGTAGATGCTAAACAATCTTAATAGAATTCTGTCTTTTTCAATATCTTCTTTCCAACACTCTACATGGCCACATTTTAGCTTCATGCAGAGTATTATTGTCACCTACTTCCAGCTGGGCCGCCCAGAAAGATATATAGACAGTACAGAATTAGTCTATACAGGGGCTTTACATTAAGTAGGGGAAAGGGTGGGCATCTTGATGTGGCACCAGACAATTATATCAACCTAAAAAAGGTGATCAAACCTGCAGGAGCCCAATTGAAATGTTTATTGTTGGGTGGACAATATCCACAGTCAATGTCCAAAGAAATGTATTTTTTCTTAGTATGAGTGGGCGAGGGGGGAAGGAGGACCGTTGTGTTTTCTACTAATGCTTGGGAATATGTTAAACAGGCCATAGACAGATCCTAATTTGTCCAGTTCTACTGATGCAGTTTAGTCCAACAAGCCTGTCAGGTTTTTTTTGAGATGATCACTATCACTGGCTATAGCTGGCAGCAGTGATCATTCTATTCTGATGGCAGGGAAACCTACTGCAGCAGGAAGGATTCCCCATTTACACAGTATTGATGGGAGTATCAAGAAATTTTATTTCATTTAACCTGTGGTTGAAGGAAAAAAAAAAGCACATGATATATGGCCACCGTTAGAGAGAGTTCCATTTCTGTCCAGTTTTACCAGATGGATGGAAAATCTGTAACAGGGACCCTACAATAAAAATCTTATAAGGGTTTTAGCCTTCCCCTCTTCTATGGAATAATAAGCACTGCTATTTTTGTCTGTGTTGCTGTTAGAGATTTACCTTTACCTACCCCTAGTGAAACCACTGTCACCAGGAAAGGCAGTAATGGATAATCTCTGTAACAGGACCCCAAATAGCAGTAACAACCTGATCAGGGTCCCATACCTGCCCCACCCTATCAAACACCAATTGCTTTGGTGGGACATACGATTTCAGTTTGCATAGAGGAAGTGTCCTATTGCCAGTCATGGATACCATAAACATGTATATACAGTTTCAATAATTAAAACAATAAAATAAATATGAATTGTTTCCATGAGAGGAAGCTTCTTGCATGTTTCAGGTTATCAGTATTTCTTAGGTCTTCTACATAAAATATGGATTTTGACCCTTTGTCCATGAATTGAAGACTTCTTTCTCCTAGGTCACCTTAATGGAGTCCTGTGTTATTGGCAGAGAAAAAGGTGGCGGGCCATCCCCGTTCACCGTTCGGTAAAAGTGTTGTTCCTTGTCCCGCTGTAGCTGTTCATGAAGCTGTTTCTCTTTTTCTAGGGCCACCTGAGCATTCAGCAGCTCCTCTGTCAAACGGCTACAACAAATCAGAAGCAGAGAATGAAACAATTACTTATGTGTGTGCACGTGCGTGCGCTACCCAAAAAAGTATAAAGCTGTGAAAGGTCACAGAGACATTATTAGCGGGAAGGGATTTCTAACCCATTCCCACCTGCCTCAAAGTCCCTTTAAACAGTTCAGAACTCCCTACGGGGCAGGAAGGATTGGTAAGCATGTGATCAGTCACTGTGGTCACATGATCGGAAGCTGGTCCCGCCAGCTGCTAATCTTTCCCCTGGACTGACAGCATGCTCTCAGCACATAAACATCAGCCACCCAGTGAAGCATATATGCCATGTGTGGGTCGTTAAAGTCCACCCTTTTGCCGTCACACATGTTAGACAGTCATTTAAGAATAAATAAGCTTTTTATTTTTTGTTGGGCATAAAACAGTCTAAGTTTCAAAGTGGAAATAAAAAGATTAAAACAATATTCAAACGTATACTCCAATCAGAAAAGTGATTCTACTATTTATTCCAAAGTTTTGAGCATTATTCAGTCATCCATCAGCATGTTTAAAGTAGAACAAAGGGTAAAATAAAACAAACAATTACATGAATGACGCAGTGGATTTTGTTTCTGTGAAGCATTTTTATTACCCGTTGATCCTGCCAGCAAATCTGTTATTTTTCCACTTCCCTTATCATAGTGACAGTACAGCTGTCACCCTATGGAACAGGGTAGTTTTAGATTGGCAAGAAGTTTTGAAATTTGAGTGAGTTTTTTTTTTCTTAATTGAAAAGTTTAAACCAGATGAATAAAAAAATAACTATTGTAGGTACCTCTATCAGTGTTAAATGGTTTGCTACCCCAGTAACAAATTCTTGTTGGACAGATTTATCTGTTAAAGGAAGTGGAAAAATAACAGATACACTGGCAGGATTAACAAAGGAGCGACCCATTCTTGCACAAATGTTTGTAGAAGCAGTCTGCATGCCTAGGTACTTGATTTTATACACCTGTGGCCATGGGGGTGATTGGAACACCTGAATTCAATTATTTTAAGGGATGCCCCAATACTTCGGGCAATATAGTGTGCATATATATATATATATATATATATATATTTTTTTTTTTTTTTAACTATGTAAAGGTTCTCTTACGATAGTCAAAACAAATGCCAAATCCAGTTACTATGTGATGCACAAGCCACATATTATTATACAGTATTTATATAGCGCCAAAAAGTTTTCTCAGCGCTGTACACTATAGTGGGGGACAGTACATGAGACAATACAGTAACAATACAATACAATACACGAGGGGTTCGAGGGCCCTGCTCCTTGGATAAAGTATACAGAAACTTCCTTTACATCCCAGAGTCAAATCTTCCTTCATTTGTGTCTCACACACTGCCCCTCCCAGACACTGCAGGCAGATCACAGTGGAAGGTTTCAGTAACAGAGGCAGTGCTCCCAATCTAGAAAGCCGTGGGCAGGACTAGGTGTGGCCCGGTGCTTTTTGACAAGCTACAGGCTTGTGAATTAAGAGCGACATCACCAATAGCCATGCCCCCTGCAACATCCCCCTATAGTGCGAACAGGCACAGCCTATATGGGAACTATGCTCTGAATTTGGGAGCAGTGCAGTATTGTTACCAAATCATCACTGGCAGGATCAACAGGTATTTGTGGGACCTTTAAAGGGTCTGAAAAATGGTAAGCGCAGATGCATTTATAATTAAATGCTTTTGCACACCGTTCCACTTAATGACTAGTGTCATAGCTTACATGGTCATGGCTGCCTGGTTCTGGGCCTGGGCTCGTAAGGCTTCAGTCTCCTGCTGCAGACTCTGCACTTTCTCCTCCAGTAGAACATTCCTGTCCATCTACCATAAAAAAAAGAAAAAAGAAAGAAAATCAGTAAAAGTAAAATCCAGGGTGATAAAAAGCCATATGGCAGTATGAAAATCACTCAGAAAAATCAATGATATGGAGCCATGGTAAGCTTTAACTTGCCAGCTGCTGTGGAACTTCAAATCTTGGCATATTTCTCCAGCAAGCTTCCTAGGTTTATTGCAAGGCAGAAATGTAAAACGGAGCAAACAATAAAAAAACAAAAGAAAGATTTGGGGTGGAGTGGCTAGGGTATATTATGGTCCTACGCCAAAGAAATAATTGTTTTACATTGGAAATCTACTACATCACCAGCTTTGGCCAATTGGAAGTCATTGGGGAACTCTGTTCTACCTTTATATAGGGTCACTTACAATAACAGAGGGTGTCCATCTAAATTTATAAGATCTGGTCCCCATGGCTTGAGAGTCCCAACTAGCAGCTTAACCTGTTACATACACACCTTTAAATCTCCTAGCCTGAGAAAAGTCCCCTTTGTGGGGTGAAGTCCCCTGATCTGCAGTTACTGTTGTGAGGCCTTATGATATGTATTGTCTTCTCAAGCTTCATTTGTTAAATAGACCATTGTTCCCAGTGCATTTTGCATGCGTAGTGAGAGATGTGCATGAAATGCGGGTTTCACGCATCGTGTTCTGGTGTTAACAGGCCCTAAATCTCTAGATTTAAATTCTCTGCACCTCAATTACCATCTCTACCCCCCTGTTGCAACCATCAAGAAGGGGGTCTTAAAGAATATGTGAACCCAACATTTCACATTCCTGGTTTGTGCCCGCTGTACCATGTACTTGTATGGAAAAGTATTCTGTTCCTTTTGTATCGCTTCCTGCCAGTCTCTCTGTTTTCCTGTCAAAAACTGACTACACTAAGTAGGAAAACACACTGTGGTCAGTCTGCTCTCCTCCAATGATCACAGCCATTCACTGGGAAGATCAGTGTGATGCGGTTTCTTCTCCCCCTAGCTCTTATGTAGCCGAGAACTGAGGGAATGTGATCACTTATAAAAAAAAAAGGGGGGGGGGGGAAATGGTGTATATAAATTGGTTACACAAATGTTTTGCCTTTCATTTCTTTTTTGAACTGAATGGGCTGCTTTACAAGGTGAAGGTTAACAATCAATTTAATCTCCTTGCTGGGTTTCTCATGTATTTTATGTAAGAGTAAATAGTCTCTTTCTAGACTCCATCATAAGGAAGGGTTGATCTTTTTTTTTGGCCAGAGACACTGAGTTGTTTTGCGATGCCAGTGGACGATTTGAACCTTTTTGACAGTTTAGAGTGTACAGACGCTTTACAATCACAGATTCTACACCATGCCTGTTTTTCTGGAAACTTGTTGAGCTACTCCCTTCAGCAAAAAAAAAAGAAACAAAAAATTGTAAAAGCTGAAACAATTACAATATAACCGCCATAATCAAGTATTACACCATACATCTCAAAGCTTACCGTAGCTTGTTGGACCTGGAGTCTTTTCTCTTGTTCCTTGATCCGCTCACTTTTCATTTCAATCACGAAATGCAGACTTTGCAGCTCCTGTTCCCAGAATTCACCAGGGCTACCATGATCCTGTGAATACCACATTGGAATGAATTATTAATAAAGTAGATACTTATAATCACTGCCAGATGATGTACTTTAACCTGATTCAGAACACCCCACCCTCTCCCCCATCACTGGTTGTGGCTTTTTTAAAAAATTATTATTATTGAATTAACTTTATTAGGATTGTATACATTAAAACTAAATCTATAACAAGCATAATCTCACAGGTTACATACAGTGAAAATCGAATGTCTAAATACGGGGTCTCCAAAACAGAGTGGGCATTGGGGGTAGAAAATGTCCTAGACCCAGTATCAGTGAGAATAAACATGGCCTCAGGGCTGGTTCTCAGGAGGAGGAGGAGAAGTGCCCCATCATTGGTACTGGTGATAGGAATAGTACCCACCATTGGTATCAGTGAGAGGAATAGTACTCCATCATTGGTATTAGTGGAAGATATAGTGCCTCATTTTTGGTGTCAGTGGGAGGAATAGTGCCCCATCATTGGTATTAGAGGAAGGAATAGTAAGCATCGTTAGTATCAGTGGGAGGAACAGTGCCCCACCATTGGTATCAATGGAAGAAGTGTCCTATCATTGATATCAGTGGGAGGAACAGTGCCGCATCATTGATACTAGAGGGAGGAATATTGACCCATTATTAGTGTCAGTGGCAGGAATTATGCCCCAGTACTGGTGTCAATGAGAGGAATAGTGCCGCAAGGGCTGGATAAAGGCTAGCAAAGGGCTGCTTCCAACCCTCGGGCTGCAGTTTGAAGACCACTGATCTAAATGATTGGTAGTTCCAGAAATCTAGATGGCTAAAGTTAAGTCATAGCAATCCTCTTGCTTCACAACTTCGCGGTCATTTCATGGACTTTTGATTTTTCTATTAATGATATTTTTCCATGCCAGTGATTCAGAAATTATTGCAACCAATATTTTATGGAAGTCTACAATAAAAAACATGGAACTATAGCATTTTTTTTTTCAGATAAAGATTTTGCTTGAAGCAAATCTGTGAGTTGGTGGTGGGTACTCAACATGCATCATGAAGACACATCACCTGTATAGTGGACTTTTCAGTAAGAGCTTGTGACAACAGGTTTTAGTCTCAGAACTGCTTCTCTCCCCATGCAAGGCATAGATGCTAACTTTTCCAGATCTGCTTGGACAGTACTTCATCTTTCCCAAATATGCTGTGTCCCTGACTGCTTCACAAAATCACAGCATCATTAGCCCAGTAACTAAAAAAAAAAAATGGTATTAACTGAAGGGATCACAACTGTGAATGGGCAGTTCCAAAACAATTCGAGTCAGGACTGCCTGGAAAGTGGGCGTAATCTGGACAGGACTACGTAGAAGAAAGGTGTGCCATGGTTGGGTTTGACAGTGTCCTGGAGACTTGGATGAATATGTTGGCAAGTACAGTCAATGGGATCTCAAAAACAGCACAATGCAGGTTAGAGGGTCAAATGCAGGTTAGAAAGGGGTCATGAAGAATGATCTCACAAGCATTTTAAAGTCAGATGCAAGCAAAATGCACCTGAAAGCAAGTTACTCCAAACCAAGCTGATGAAAGGCCAGGATATGTAAGATTACATAAGGCACACCTTGGAAATGGTTGAACACCTGAGAGGTATAGGAGAAGAAATAAAATAATTTCTAATAAAATCTGAGAATCCCAAATCTTTTGAGATGGCACTCCTGTACAAAGACCTACATTTCTTAGAGATGGAGATTAGATCATTTTTAGGACTAAGGTCTGCAGTAAATAAAAATACGTTGTCCTTGTTGGGCTGTGTCCCACCCCATCTTGGTGGGCACTGAACCCCACACACCACAGCTATAAAGCAAAATTGGTAACCACTTGGTTGGTGTGCTACCCCTGCCCTTGCTGAAACTTCACCCTGCACAGGAAAATCTGACATCAATGTCCCAGCACATGACAGTCAAACAAAATACACTTTGCATAAACTGGTATTACATTCTGAAATATGTAAGCGCCTCGTTTAAACTTTTGAACCTATTAAAAGGCACCTCCTACACTGTCAGGCATTCTCTGCTAAAAACACAAGTCGGCTCCTTTAAAATTCCTTCCTGAGTGATTACAGGGAGGCCTGGAATGTGGCAACGCACCTAAGTGTGGACAGATTACCAAAGGGAAAGGATTACCGTACTGTGCCCTGAAATAACTGTTTGTGAGGCATATTGGATAAAGCACACTTCAGTGAAATAAACAGGACCTACCCCGAGTACAACTTCAAAAGCCAAGAAAGATAATTTCATTATGCACGTAGACAATGGTCCGTTTTAATAAAGGGCAGAATTTTATTTTTCTTGGTGGGGGGGGTAGAGTTTGGAAAGGTTAAAACATCTGTTGGGTTTCTATTACTCTCTCTCTCCCCACTAGGAATTTACCCTCTAATTTTATCCAGGTGACAATAGAAACCAGGAAATAAATTAATGAGAGATCCATAAAGTTATGAATGTAAAAAACAGAAGGTGAGGAAAAAAATCTTCCAGCGGAGACTCTTGTGGAGAAATTTGACAGATGGCAATTAAACCCCCTTTGGAGAGATTTCCCTTCAATCCCTGTTGTGTCTCTGTAACAGGAAGTGAAGGGAGAGATTTTCAGTGGGACAAAAATAGCAAAAAAGAGGACTAAGTGTAGGGGAGGTGGGGTGAGATTAACCATTCCCAACTTTGTCCAAAACAAAACTAAACTTTTTGGATTTTGATACACGTTCATTTATAGGAAACAGTGGGTTGAATCCTTTGGTGGACTCCACAGAAGTGACAAAGCCTCTTTGAATCTCCACACTTTTCCCTTATTATTTTGGGCATCAGTAAGCCAGTAATACAAAATAAAAGTTAAACGATTGAGAGTCAGAACCCCTCATATCGGTAGATGGAATTACCTTGTTATAGCATCAACCAAAAACTAAATAAAACAGTTGGTTTTGGTGTCAGTATCTTGGCACAGATTGTTTTTGGGGCAGTGACTGGGAGCTGCAGGATGGCCAGATACCAATATCAAGCTAAGTATGGATTTCCTGGGGGTGAAGTCAACCTGTACTTTTCCCATGAAGGAATTCGACAGGTGATCTTTACCATAGGATAACATTCATGCAAAGCTGGCTATTCAGCGCCTCTACTTAAAAGAGAATTAAACCCAAAAGCAAACATTTGTTATATTGCAGTTTACCAATTCTTATGTGATGCCTGTATTGATTTTCTTTTTTTCCCCTTTTTTTATCTGGCGATCCAGCCAGTATGTCTGTTTTCCAAAACAACAAGCTCTCTTGCAAATTGCATCAGTTACAAGGATGAGACAAACCATTTACCACTGACAGGGGTTCTTACAATGATCACCCTTTTTTTATGTAAATCCTTTATCCCAAAAGGAGAAAAACTGTTCACTGTAACTGCTTATAAAGTATTAGCTGAAGCTTGGCTTCAATTGGTTACTGAATTTAAATCTGCTAGTACATCTAACACTCCCCTTCGCCCATTAAAGTCGGGATTTCACCAAAGCCTGGACCGGCTCAGTGACATCATTTGACAGCAGATGGTCCAGGCTTTGGAGTTTCTGTCGGCTGAAAATGGGTCATGGGAGTGTAGAAACTAAGTGCACTTTTGTGATCCCCATAAGTAGTAGGGCCAAAAGAGACTTGGCCCTAATTCTCCTTTAAGGAGCTCTGGGCATCCCTATTATCTCTCACTCCCGGGTATGTCAGATACTGTGTCCCGCCACCAGATTAGGTTTCATCTTCCAACCCCTACATCATTTCCGGACACAGTGGTGATATAGAGGCTGGTAGAAGGAGCTGCAGTGTGGCCATACACAGGGGGAAAACAAAAGAAATGACCAAATGATTACTACATATTGTACATTAGCCACATTTTTTTTTATTTAATTTAGATTTCACTTGTATGGTCAGTTACAAGGTTTACTATTCATCAGAGACTGCCTCTAGGGAAAGAAGGAACTAAAAAAAAAATCTTGCAGGTTTAATTAAGATAGGATGCAGAATGCAGTCTGTCCTAACAGGGAAAGTTCTGGCACTTCCAGAACTTATAGCTTTCTCCTAGCACCACACAGTCCCATTGGCCCATAGCTATGATGGGCTGTCTCACTGGCCAATTTTTCAGGAGATAAGAAGGGGCAGGTAAGCTTTGACACTATGGGGAAGTGATGAAATTTTGTCTGTCAGAATGGTCCAGAATTCAGAAATACTGTATCTGCAGGTTTTTTTTAAAGGTTAAGTTAACCTTTCTGCAAAAAAGGATAAATTCACATATTTTGCAGAAAAAAAAAATATGTGCATTTATTATTTCTTGCACAGGAGCCTGCAGAACATTGCACCCGCCATCAGTGGATGGCAGGCTCCCGCAGACATGTCCTCCAGATTTCTGCCTGTACCTCAGTACGGGCTGGCAGATTGAAAGCTGCTGGGGCTTGTGAAGGAACTATGAGCCCTCGAAGTTCATTGAGCCATCTGCCAAAGAGGTAAATGTGACTTGCAGTTTTTTAATTCACAGATTCCTTTGAATGAATTAATCGGCTGGGCAGGTGAGAAGAACCTTGTCACAGGGAGGGGGAATTGGAGGGTATGGGTGAAGGTACTGGAGCACGTTATGCCTTAAACCCTAAATACGGATGTAATGTATAACATGCTCCAAAAGGTGAACTTAGGCTGGTCATACATTATACAATTTTCTTGAGATTTTTGGTTTAGATTTACCAAAAACTATATAATAGGAGGTCAACCCTAAACAACACTTTCAATTGTATCCAATTAGGCAGACCCTTGCACTACATAGTTGAAGGTAAATCTAAAGGAAATTGGGCAGAAAATTGTATAGTGTATGGTCAGCCTTAGCCTATAAGCTTCTGCAGGCAGGTGCAGGCATTTCTAGGTGCTGTAAGAGATTTCTTAACACTGGGGTGTCAGGGAGATACAAAGAGACAGCCAGTGATACAACCTGTTGGCAGCTATGCAAAGACAAATGGTCTCACAAAGATGTTTTTTAAGAAAAAAACAAATACATTTAAACTATAGAAGCCGTAAAGTGGAGGCAAAGCACAAATTAATGTAAGAAATCTTCCTCAAGGCTATGCAAAATTTCAACAATTCTGGCATTGTATATCAAATTGTTTGAGAAAAAACTGACTGGGTCAACCAAATGCTTCCTTTTACTTTTAGATTGTAGGCTCTAACAAGCATGACCCTTTGATTCTTCTTGCATTGAATTGTACTGTAATTGTACTGTCTGTACAAACCTCTAGCGCTATATAAATCCTGTATAGTAATAATAGTGTTACTATTCTAGTTATAAACTGCAGGATTTCATGTATTACTATAGGCATCAAATATACATTTCCTAAGACTGGCTGTAAAGCCAGCTATAGATGATGCAATGTTCTTTCCTGCAACCTTAGATTGTAGGAAAGAGAATTGCTTGATTCCCCCATCTACACAGCCAGCTCCCGCAGAACTATTTTGTTCTCCATGCAGAGCTGGGGAGCTGTATCTGCTGGGAGAACACTATGATTATTGCTAGCGGCTATAGCCGCTGGCAATAAACCGCATGAAAAATCCAACAGGCTGGTTGTACCGAAGTCATACAACCACTAAGTTAGGTACAATCAGCCTGCCCATAGATGGTTTGAATCTCGGCCGGTTCCTGCTGAACCAGCTGGGATTCAAACCATCTATGGCTGGCTTATGTGTACTAATATAATACCTGAATGTGTATTTTGTAGTCTTGATTTAGGACGGACTCTTCAACCCGTTTCATTTTCTCTTGGAAGGATGCCAACTGCCCATGTAACTCGGCGACAGTTTCCTGCAAATTATATAATTCAATTACTATGCATTTTTGATAGAGCAATATAAAGAACAACAGCAATTAAAGTAACCACTGGAACGGTTCATTAACAGAAGTCTATTCATTTCAATGCAGGAAAAATGCATCTGCACGATTTGTGAAAATATAGCACACCACAATGCACAGAACAATCACATCTGTGTGTTGTGTTGCGCCAAAGCTCAGGTGTGATAAAGTTTACTTTATATGTGTGCTGGGGTGCAATTCATAATGAATAGCTTTTTGTTTGTATGAATGCTGGCTCTTTAATTCTGAGCTTTGGACCAAGTCAGTTATGCAAATACGTGGCCTTTGCACGTGTAAGTGCTCTTCCCATTCAGAACATCACTGAGGACATCATCACTGCTCATTGCTCTGCCTTGCAGATAAAAGCACCGATAATATCATGTCAACAGCTTTTAATAAGCTGATTTCATCTTAAGAGATCAGTTATCATGTCAAGTAATCCAAGCACTGCATACAACTTCACCCAATTATTATAAGTGGACTGTACTTTATGTGACCTCACGCATTTTGTATGATTCAATTTAAACCTAGATTGTATAATCCACTTGAATCCGTATCTAGAATGGTTTCTTTCCAAGCAACTGGACATTAAAGAGAAACTGTTAGGAATATGGGAGCTGTCAATGCGGAATTGTTTTCAAAGCTGCACACTGTGGATCTGTCCTCCCCATTCTTGCTTCAATAGTTAGACTCTGACCTGAACAAATAGTTAAGTCAGCTGCCCCAGCTACACTGGTTGGATTCCTGTTCAGAGACAGTGAATCACTGAGCAGTCAGACAAGAATAAGGATGACACTTTGTGAACTTGCATCTTCAAAAGCAAGCCAGCTACTGTATTTTCATCCTGATGATGACAGCCGGAAGAACCCAAGTCTTTAGAACAACATGAAAAGCATATGCTGCCAGCACACCATGGATCCATTTAAAAGTCCAGTGTTTTATTAAAGCATGTAATTATCACATACCCAACGAAAGGGACCTTTGCAACTCTGAGTTGTACTTACACTTGATGGGATCGTTTTAATAAAATCTCCGGAAATTTAAATGGATCCATGAAGTGCTGGTGACATATGCTTTCCCGTAGATTGATCATTGGCTAACCAACTGGTCATCTTTCCAAAAACCCCCTCATTCTCTGGACTTTACCCAGGAAGGAGTGCAGTGGGAACATATCTATTATCGCAACACATGGTAGGATTCACAAAGCCACCACACAAAGGTTTTTAGCTCTTTAAAGAGGAATTTCAGTTGTTTCTGAAAATATAACAGTCAGCAGCTACAAATACTGTAGCTGCTGACTTTTAATAAACAGACAGACACTTACCAGTCCAGGAGTCCAGCGCTGTCCCCAGCCAAGCTGGTTCTTTGGCTTTAGATCTCCGGCTCATCATCTTTGATGTGGGAAGTTGGTTGTGACTTCGTGGTGTTTCACAGCCAGCTCCCCACTGCGTTTGCAGAGCGGTCCTGCAGCATCCTGGGACCTGTGACATGTCTCAGGAGGTTGCGGGCAGGGAAGGGGCAGGCACCTGTCAGCAACAGGTACCCACTTCCAGAAAAAAAGAAAAAACTACAATGAAAACGGGGGGGGGGGGGGGGTAAGTGGAAGATTTTAGATGAAGTTCCTCTTTAAGTTTTTTCCACGAGCATCTGTTAAAAAGTACATTTTTACACAATTACCTGAAAAACCATCACAAAAAAAAAAGTTTTATGGTCATTGTAATAGGATAGCGCTTTATGACCAATTTAGATGCTGAATCCACCTTTAGTCATCTTTGATTATGCACTACTTCATTGCAAGTGATTATTCTTTTAATTATATTGCAAAACCGATGAAACAGCAGACCTTAAGGGAAGTGGTTAACTTTTCATACGTTTCTTTGAGCGATGCATTTTCCTCCTCATAGTGCTTCTGCAGCTCTGTGGGGGAAAAATACGGTACAGTACAGTCATTTCCTTCCAAAGTAATGCTGTGCACACATACATAGAAACCCTAGGTTCAAAAGGTTTCACTTCCTTTAAAAAGAGATGATAGAATCACACTACACCCTGCTACACTACAACTGCTACATGATCATGTCCCTAAGAAATCAGAAAGAGTGTTTCTAAGTGTACAAAGAAAAGCATTATCCCAAAAGGAAAAAACGGTTTGCTGTAATGTGTGAGCTGGAGTTATGGCTTCAATTTGCTAGTGTATTTAAATCTGCTAATACATTTATTACTACTCTTCTGCCCAGACTGAAATGCTGCTGTGCTCCCTGTGTTCATCCAGAGTGGTGTCTCACTAATACACAATACTGGCTAGAGCACCAGGTAAAAAACAAGGGAACAACACCAAAGAAAAGAAAACTAATGCAGCACCACATCTAATGACTGGTAAACTCCAATATATTACATTTTTGGTTTTGAGTTTAATGCAATTTTAAAAGCAAAATTAACCCAATGAGCGATGAAGCGCCCCTTTAAAACAAAACAAAGATTCCATTCTCACTGGTATGTGATTGTTCTACTTTAATGATTTAATGTTTACTAGCAGTTTAAACATCAACTAATCACACTGAGCCAGTAAACCGGTCAGATCTTGAACAATTAAAATGGAACAAAAGATTAAAAAAATACATAAGCAGATAATACCAACAGTGAAGACCAGCAGTCAAGATGGTCATTTGATCCATGGTTATAAGCAGCTAAAGTTACTGGCAAATCTTCTCATTTTTAGTGATGCTGCCCAAAACATTAAAAAGACCAATAGGGAGGTTGAATGGGTCAACCCAACCTTGACTTTCTGATATCACTTAGCTACCTAAAATAAATTTCTTTGACTTAAAGGGTATTTCACAAAACACAAACATTACTTGTACATTTTTATTTATAGTTCAGTATGAATTGCCCAAGTTTGTGACCAGTTTACTGTACTTGCGCCTGGGGGAATGCACATTTATGAGTAAAAATAAACTTTTCAAAAATATGTTTTTCCTATTTTTGTTTATCAGTCTGAAATGAACATTTTTACCCATTTGCTGTAAAGTGATCTGGGTTGTCCATCAGAAGCAGTGACAAAGGATGCCTCAAACCCACATGACAACCCCCCCCCCCCCCCCCCCTTTCACCAGCATCTTCAGTTTTACCTTCACATTTTTTATCCAGTTCGATTTTCAGACAGGAAGCCTGTTCTGAAAGACGTTTTTCCAAGTCTGCTTCTGCATCTCGTTTAGCCTGTAAAAGTGGAACAAAATCTATTAGTGGATGAGTAAATAAAGCCCATCTCCAGGCACATGCTGTGCCCCCAATCCCTTCTCCCTGCCCATTCACAAGTCTGTTGTCACGTGACCTTCTTCCCAGGGTAGAGATCATAGTTACATATACAGTAGTTAGTTAGTCTGGCTGAAAAAAAGTCCATCCAGTTCAACCAAAAAAAAAAAAACCACAGAGCTGCAGTTCAGGCCTTTTGCTGGCTGATATTGTTGTCGCTTTTCATAGTGACATCATCATATCATTGCAGTCTAATGGTGCTTGAAAGGACCACACTGCTGGACAGCCAACGGGAAGTTTTCACATCACCCAGGCAGTGTGATGGGCACCTGGAGAAGGACCACACTGCCTTGGTGATGTCAACAAATACCACTGGTTATCCTGAAGTGTGGTCCTTCTTCAGGTGCCTATCACACTGCCTGGCTGATGTGAAGACTTACTGTTGGCTATCCAGCAGTGTGGTCCTTCTTAAGGTACTATCACACTGCCTGGGTGATGTGAACAAATACCACTGGTTATCCAGCAGTGTGGTCCTTCTTCAGGTGTCCATCACACTGCCTGGGTGATGTGAACAAATACCACTGGTTATCCAGCAGTGTGATGGACACTTGAAGAAGGACCACACTGCTGGATAACCAGTGGTATTTGTTCACATCACCCAGGCAGTGTGATAGGTACCTGAAGAAGGACCACACTGCAGGATAGCCAGAAGTAAGTTTTCACATAAGCCAGGCAGTGTGATAGGCACCTGAAGGACCGCACTCCTGGAAAGCCAATAGTAAAGTTCACATCACCCAGGGAGCGTGGAGGGTACCTGAAGAAGGACGCACTGCAGTGCAGAAGGTAGACTAGGTACCCAGAGTTTCAAGTAACCAGAGAAAGGCAAAGTAAAAAAAAAATGCATTTAGGTTTGTGAGGTTTTTTTTTATAGACCCAAAGAGTTAGAGGCACACCAGCCTTGCAATAGCCTTATTATAATAAAACAGATGTGTACTCACAAACAGCATGAACTTTCAAGCACATCAGTATCCACAGTGTCCTGAGTGACCTGGTCAACAAAGCAAGCCCTAACTACAAGAAGGCCCTCAAGATGGCTGATGTGTTTTGAGGAGGGATCCCCTTTTTCTCAGAGCCCTCAGTTAGAGGTGAGTGGTGGGCATGAGCTATAAAGTTAGACTCCAGATAAGCTACTAAATACACATATGTAAAATGTTTTGTAATTCTGTCCAGCCACTTTTCTGATTCATACAGCTCTACCAGACAGCTCCCCCAGGAAGGTGACACCACTTTCCCTCGAGTTAAGAAATACAGTGGTGTGCCTTCTCCACCTGTAGCCAGGTGATTGGACAATAATGGAGCAGCAACACTCTGATAAGTTATCAACTCTGCTCCCTCTTCCTGGCAGGATGTTTCCTGTGATGTAGCAGAGTCTGATTGGCTCCTAGTGCTGTCCTTCCTCTACCAGTACGAGTACTACTGTGCAAAGAATGACAGAGATTAATATCCAGACAGCAGGTAGTTATGCTAGATGTATGCAAAAATACATTTGAAGTGTAAGTCCAGCCAACATTATTTAGTTTTGAATTAGACAGGGAAGGATTGGAACCCTTGGTGGGTTTTTTACTGCTATCCTAGGCTCCGCCCATCATTTACGTCCATATCGATAACGGTTTTATTAGATATGGTATGAGGAAAAATCTAAAAAAGGACCACAGACCAAAAAAAAATGCTGACCAAATCAATAATGAAAAGGTTACTAAAGTTAAGAAAAGTCTTGTATGACAGAATAAAAATTTGGAAGTGATGTCATGCATTGTATTGTATTGTATTTGCGGACGAAAACTGTACAAATGAAACGAAAATTGTATGATCTGGTATCATATGAAAACAATTTTCATACTTGTCCTTTCAAATAGTTTTAGACGAAAGCCTTGTATGAACGATCAGATTTTTGTACGATTGCATTGAAAGCGGTATTTTTTTGTACAATTTTCTGATTGTGTGTACTAGGCTCAACAGAGCCTTTGGCAGGAGTAAAAACTTGAACAGGATTCTGATGACATGTTTCATGTTACACCTTAAATGTGGGTGTAACATGAAACATGGGAAGAAAGGTGGTATATGTTTTTAAGCCCTCTATCAGTTATTTTTATTATTATTATACAAAATTTATATTGTGCAGTGCTTTGCAATATAAATGGGATACGATACAATACAATAAAATACAAGCAGGTTATGTGGGTCCAGTTCATAAGAGCTTACAATCTAATAGAGTAGGGAAAGTGGTACAAAAGGTTATAACTGTGGAGGATGAGCTGATGGAAGTGAACATTTTCAGTTAGCTGGAGGTGTAAGAGGCTTCCCTGCAAAGATGAGTTTTTAGGGAACCCCCTAAAGGCAGAGTAGGAGCCTGACAGACTAAGGTAGAGCGTTCCAGCGGATAGGAGAGGCTCTGGAGAAGTCTTAGAGACTAGCATGGGAGGAAGAGACAAGGGAGCTTGAGAGATGGAGGTCATGGGAGAAGCAGAGAGAATGGTTTGAATGATACTTTGAGACAAGTTTGGCGATGTAGCTTGGGGCAGAGTTGTGAAAAGCTTTGTATGTTGTCAAAGTGATTCTAAAGGCTTATTTTTTTTTAATAAAAAAATAACAAACATGTCTATACTTACCTGCTGTGTGCAGTGGTTTTGCACAGAGCAGCCCAGATCCTCCTCTTCTAGGGTCCCACGCCGACGCTCCTGGCCCCTCCCTCCTGTTGGGTGCCCCCACAGCAAGCAGCTTGCTATGGGGGCATACGCTGCTCCGTGTGTCCATTCACATGGAGCCGCATCTCGGCCCTGCCCCTCGCTCTTCTTAATGGCTCCCTGGCTGTGATTGACAGCAGTGGGAGCCAATGGCTCCCTCGTATGTCTTAGCCAATGAGAAGAGGGAGTTCCAGGATAGCTGAGACTCCAGTGCACATTACAGGAAATGAGAGGGGGCAAAGGTGAGTATGGGGGGGAATGCTGCACAGAAAAAGTTTTTTACCTTCGTGCATAGAATGCACGAAGGTAAAAAAAAGCCCTGAGCCTTTAGAACCACTGTAATATTTTGATTCATTTAATTTGTTTGATTTTATTCGTTGGACACTCCAAAGCCAATGAAGGGATTGGCTCAGAATGGTGGCAGACATGGAGAGGTTGGGAAGGTGGATGCGTGGATACAGCATTCCTGATAGACTGAAGAGGGGATAATCTATGGCGAGGTAGGCCTATGAGGAGGGAGTTGCAACAAGAGACAAGGGAATGAATGAGCTGCTTAGTGGGCACATCGGTCAAAAAGTGGGACTGATAGTTGTATTATTGATCTTGATGGAATAGGGGGGAATATTATCAGCTCGATTTTAGAGAGATTTAATTCAAGGAAGTGGTGCGACATCTATGCTATGTCAGTAAGTTAGTATGGTTTTTTTGCAGCCTGTCCTGTCTGGGGAATTCCTTTTACTTTCCAAGAGAGAGCAGGAAGTAAAAGGAGAGATCTTCAAAGTGAGTGGATAGCCCCTCCTATGTCACCGAGAATGGTCATCAGGACAAAGAGAGGGCGAATCGTCCTACTGGGGACACAAACAACAATACATTTGATACAAAACTAGAAAAAAAACCAATTGGTTTCCATACACTAAACTTAAGTACAATACAGTAGATCAGATATGATCCAATGTTCTAACAATTTTCAATTAAATGATCTCTCTTTTCAGTGTTGGCCTCTATTGTCAACGGTCTCTGACAGCTCCATGTATACAGATTGCACCTGTAAAAGCCGTTCTCACTGGACTCAAAGTTCAGATTAAAGTAACAATGCAAATGGATTCCTTATACAATGCAGTTGCTCACAAAGCAAACATTTTGCGGTTTAGTTTCTTTCCCAAGCAGAACAAAGCTCCATACTGGCAGGCAACATTAAAAGAACACGTTGGTCTTGTTCTATACATTTATCTATCTATGAAGTCATAATAAGTTCACAGAACACATATGGTCAATGAGCTGACATAATTACTTAGTTCATCCGTGGTAAAGGTAATAGTGAATGGGACAGACCACCAGTATTTGTTGAACTGTTTGCTAGCATTTCTAGCAGCTGCTGCTAATAGGTTTTCAGAGGGCTACTGAAGCCTTGATTAGCGTTTGCGTCATCAAGTCCTTTAAACAAATAAACAGAGAAAAGCAACAGATTTGCTTTTAAGTGTATGTGTAGCCCAAATTTTAGGAACAATGGGTAAGAATTAGTGGAAAGCGACATCGTTTGTATACATTATAGGGCCAAAAGGTACTTAGACACCAAAATTTTGAAGTTCAGGTCTTTCCAGGGAAGGGTACTTTTAATGCTAAGCAGGCAAGGACATTTTAGACTTCTGTACACATTCAGCCTTGTGACAAGAGTTTGGGAAAGGCCCTTTTCTGTTGTAGCATGACTGTTCTCTGCACAAAGCCAAATTCTTAAAGCCGAACTCCAGCCTAAAGGCGAAGTTCTGCTTTATGCCCTCTTTACCCTCTCTTCTATTTCTGGTACTTTTTTTGAGGGGGGGTTTTGACAGGTACCAACTCCAACTTTTAGTTGAATCGTCATGGCAGATCTGCCGGACATTCTCATCCCTGCCCAGAACCTTCTGGGACATGTCACAGGTTCCAGAAGGCTGCAGGATCAATCACAAAGTGCAGAGCAGCCTTGCGCATGTGCAGTTGGAAGCCGCACAGAATCATGGCCAGCTGCCCATAGTAAACATGCCAGCACCATGGACCTGAAGACTGAAGAACCGGTCAGATGAGGACGGCGCTGGATCCCTGGAATGTCTTTTTAGTAGAAGTCAGCAGCTACAGAATTTGTAGCTGCTGACTTTTAATCTTTTTGTAACAAGGCGAGGAACCACTTTAAAGTCAGATGAGTTTGCTGTGAAGGAATTGACCTGCACCGGAGTCCAAAACTCAACCCAACTAAACAGGTTTGGATTGAATTGGAACAAATATGGCAAGCCAGGTTTCGAAAGGTTTGGAATATGATGTAAAAACAAGGCAAGGGGCAGGTCTCCATATAATTTTTGGACATTTAGATAATGTGCACATATTCTAGTACTGCCTATGCCCAAACCAACCAAGCATCTTACAACTGCATTTAATTAGAACTAGTAAAACAGGCGACAGGTTTACATTTGCCAGGTTCCTTCTCCAGATTAAAGAACATTGCAGTCTATCTATTGTCAGACATACCAAAGTCTCTTGCTACAGTGATACTGTAGCATTTACCCAGCACTACTGCTCCTGTAGAGGAATAATACCAATTGTACAGCTGACCTTTTCCCTCAGCTCTTGTTCCTGCTCCTCCATCTTCTTCTTGTTGGCCTCCTCCATGGACATCTTCTCCTCATGGTGAGACTGAATGAGTTTTCTGATTTCTTGCTCATAGTCTTTGATTTTGTGCAAGCATTCACTTGATCCATTTCCTGCGTTAGGACCAGAATATAGAGAAAACTAATGTCAGGCCATAATCCATGCCTACTAAATCAAAACTACTTTTTGAGGGCCAGGGAACTCTTTGAATAGAATTTCTATCTACTCTGACTGTTAGTGATAAATCGATGACCTGGAATTAACATATATAAAAGTGAAGGAAAGGATGGCCAATGGTTAACAACCTCATCCTTGCTTGTTTTGTTTGGACAAAAGATTCCCTCGTGGACAAATGTTTCAATAAAACTGGAAGTTTTAAAGTGTAGGTAAACCCAACACTTTATTTATTTTTTTTTAAGCATGTAAAATGGTTACAATTCCTGTCAGGTTCTGACTGCATTCAGAATGCCTGCTGTGTCAACTTCACTTTTTATCCTGGTGATCAGTGTTTGGAAAATGATAGGAAATCCAAACTTCTAGAGTTATAAAGTGATTGTAAACCTCAGACATGAAATATGAACAAAGCATATCGCTCTATAGTGTGTAGTTGTCTCAATCCAGAGCACTAGATGTCACTCCTGTATGCTACCCCGTTCGTCTGCTATCTGCATGAGTCACTTCTGACAAATTTTCCTAACACCAAAAGAAAAAAGGTGACAGGGGAAGGATCTCCAACAAACAGCCTGTGATTGACATCCTCAGCTCTGTTTCTGTGTGCTGTGTGAAGGGTGTGTCCTTTCCCTCCAATAAGCTCTCCTCACTGAGCTCTACAGTGTGTCATTTCAGTTCTCCACCCCTGATTTCTGACAGCTCAGACAAGCTGTGTAAATTCTGGATTTTGAACTTATGTAGAGAAGACTGCAGATAGATACAACTTATGAGGATTTCTTTCATTTATGTGTATCACCTGAGGCCGGTCACTTCACTTGTACATAAGGGTTTACAACCACTTTAACAGGCGATTTGGGGAAATTTTCCAAGGAGGGACACCTGTTCTGTAAGAAAGGATTTCCTCTGGTTTTAGAGAAATGTTCTTTCAGTTTATGTCGTGTATTAGGGACAGGGAATTAAACAAATTTTCAAACAGGGGAAAGAGAGAAAGAGAGAAAGAAAGAAAGAGAGAGAAAGAGAGAAAGAGAGAAAGAGAGAAAGAGAGAAGAGAGAAAGAGAGAAAGAGAGAAAGAGAGAGAAAGAGAGAAAGAGAGAAAGAAAGAGAGAAAGAGAGAGAAAGAGAGAAAGAGAGAGAGAGAGAGAGAGAGAGAGAGAGAGAGAGAGAGAGAGAGAGAAAGAAAACAAAACAAAAAACAGCTAGGTCTCCTGATTCTTCCCTACTCTATCCAGAGTAACATAAACTCTCAGCAGAAGTCATCAACACATAAGGACAAGCCAAGCTGAAAAATTAGGCAAATCTAAAGGAAATGTATCAGCAACCATGATTCCTAAACCAAGGATGTGCTATGTGGCAGGGGACATCTGTGTCCTACAATCCAATAGGATACATGTACACTAGATGCTGAATGCATGTTAACAGCAAGAATAATTTGGTCTTTTTTCCTACACCTAATACGTATGCCAAAAGCGCCACCAAAATAACCTTTTCCTTTGAAAAAAAATATTTCCTTTTCCACCTGCTACAAATGGTGCTCAAGCTGCCTCCTCTCTTCTCCAGATGGGACAAAGCGGAAAATGACAGCCACAAGTGGAGAAGACTAATAGTGCATACCATATTGACACACATTTGTCTCTGGCCTTGCCATAGCTTGTAAGATAGAAGATCAAAGGCAGCCGTCTTACCAGCTATGTTGTTCAGTTCTTGAGATGTCTGCTGGTTCTCCTTTTTTTTCTGACGACTCTGTAAGAAAAAGACGATTTGTTTTTAAACCAGTATTTGACAAAGTTTCAGATTGTCATGGGATGGTCAGATGTGCAGGCATATAGGCATATCTACCCTGTGGCATCTGCTTCAGCCTGTTTAGGTCTATGGAGAGAGATGAAGAAGAAGTGGTGCAGACAACAGTGGCTTTGGCAGGAGTATCTATTGGTTCCCATTGTTATGTATTATACCAAAATAAAAAGCCAGATCAGGAGACTACAACTAAATGTCTGTGGATATCTTCATTCTGGCTGTGGTTCATTTGCCTGGGGGGGCCTAGATTTAAAGTAAACCTAAAAAAAGATATTGAGGCTGCATTGACGATCCCTGGAAAATGCTAGTTGCATGGCTATTATGCCAACCCACTGGCTTCAACATAACGACAGACGAAGTAAGCTTATGAGGAAAGTCAGAAATTCATAATTGCATACTTGTTTCAGGTCTGTAAAGTATTAAAGCCAGAGGATCACTATGACAGCCAGGAATCTAGTATTTACAAAACAGCAGCCTTTGTGTCTCCGGAAAGGCCAAAACATTTACTTTTTTGTATAGGCATTACTGTCATTGTCCTCACTTGCTAACAGCACAGAAATAAATGGGAAGTCTCTCAAACAGGGAAATAAAAACAAATTTCTGGTATAGTAAAAAGGGGTTAGAATGTCTGACAACATTTTATTGCGGTTTGTGCCTTCCTGTGCCAGTGACAACTGCACCCCCTTCTTACCTGTACAGGTGTCATAGGGAAAGATGTGAGACAATACTCTACCTCACAGGGTCACAGACAGTAAAACATTCCCTTAAAGTGTATTTAAATCCTAACAACAAACCCTTATTTGCCCCCTTTTGGTCTTCTAAAACAGAATTTCAGCCAAAAAATACAATAAAAATAAACAGCTCATTAACAGATTAAAACAAATACAGCTTTTTCTGCAATATTCATCTTCAACCCGGCGATTTTCCCTGCAGTACTTAATCCTACCTCTAGATGTCTTCATTCTGATGGCTGATATCTTTTAACTAACTTTCTCTGAGCCCAGGGCATCCTGAACCTGCTCCAAGCTTGTGACTTAACAGTGAAAAGAGAAGCAGCGCAGCAATCAGCTCATCTCGCTGTCACTTTGTTCCCCCTATCAACATGCTTCTTTGTCAGCACATGAACTGATTAACTCTTTGTGCTGCTTCTTCTTCTGACACTGCATCCCTGCTGCACAGGGACTGTGAGTGGCTAGTCAGGTCAAATGAGTTATTTACACTGTATGCATTCAACAATACCTTTCTTGATGTATTATTGATTACTGAGCTGCATTAATTTGTGTTTAATACAATCAGTTATATAATACCAGTGGAAGGATTTTGTATGATAAATTCCAAAACAATCTGTTGACCTTGTCAGAAATTCAGTCCTGTGTCCTCTACATACTTCCTGTGTTATCTCCATCCCTATCCAAATAATATAAAAAAAAATTGGCTGGAATTAAGCATTTAAAACAAAGACTTCGCCCAAAAGTGTATGTGGATTACTCACTGTTTAGACAAACACTATTAAATCTCAGTGTAAACTACCATGCCTGTGTCTTGTCAAAGACTGACGATCATGTTTATTGGCAGAGAACACTACACGTTATTAGAGTGACTTCTATAATATAGAGATTGCTATTGTGAATGTTATCATTGATGTAGCATAGTGGTCTCCAAACTGCAGCCTGGGGGCCAGATGAGGATCTTTGCTTGCCATTATCTGGTCTGCAAGGCATTATTCTTGCCACCGACACCTACAACAGGGCACTCTTCCTCCCACTGACACCAACAATGGGAAATAATTCCTTCCTCTTTCACTAACAAAGCGGGCACTATTCCTCCCACTGACACCATTGATAGGGCAATATTCCTCCACTAATACCAAAGATGGGACATTGTTTACTTCCCCACAGTTTGGCCCCCTTATAGTCTGAACAACAGTAAACTGGCCCTTTGTTTAGTAGGTTTGAAGACCACTGGTGTAGTAGACAACACTTCTTCCTCCCTAGAATGGCAATGTAATTTTCATATTCATATATAAACAGCATATAAGTGTAGCTTTCCTCTAGTCTGCTAGGGGGATCTAGTTAGTTTTTTTTTTTTAAACAGAGGTTTAGTAGCCTGGGATGAGTCAGCCAGGTAACTGAAGTTCAGTTCCCCGATACCTCCCCATGCTCTAGAAGCTTGAGAAGTTTCTAGAAGGCAGTGGGTGGGGGTGAGGAGTGATCTGCACACTCAAGGGATTTTGACTAATCCCCAAGCAGGTGGCTTAGCATGGGCTCAGAACAGCCTTTAAGTATGACTGAGCCTGCTCAGCAGGGGGAGTAGTGTCAGGTAGAAGATGATGTGAGAAGGCTAGAGTGTGGAGCCTGGGGAGGGGGTCCAGGAGAGAGGCTTACCTGCAGGCAGGAGCTGGAAGGGAGGATATCTCAGCCTCAACTGCCCCCTTAGAGAGGACAGCCTGGAAAGCAGGGAAGGAGAGGACTGAGTGAGTAATCCCATGCCCCCTGGGCCAGATAAGGGGAGAGGGCATTCTGGTGGGAAACCTGGCTAGCCCCCATCTGGGACTTAAAGTGGCAGTTTCTGGGCCCTCATGCTCAGGGATTTCCTCGGGCAATTACGTGAAGAGGAGAAATCATCTGGGGTCTGAGGTGGTACACCAGGAGGGCTGGAGAGCTCTCCAAGAAGAGAATTTTTGTCTGTGGACTTGTATATAGTTGCTAAGGAGTTGTCCTCAAGTTGCAGTTTCCTTGGGCAACTCATACACCCCTCAACCCTATCCAAGTACAATACCCCTTAATAACCCCCCCCCCAAAAAAAAAACAAGCTCAAGGACTGTTTACTGTCTTCAGTGTGCAAGGTCTGAAGAAAATGCGTGTTGCCTGGCTGTGCAGGACTATGGGGGGGACCCAAAACTCAGCAACTCCTAAGGGGGTAGTGCTACATAAGAAAGCTTGTTGATGGCATGACAATTTCAACTAATCAGTCAATGTGTCAAGGGTTTTATTCACATCAGAGCTCCTCTTTAAATGGCTGGTGGGAGCAGACAATTAAGGGTTAAAGGATGTGAAGGAAA